GTGCCCCCCCCCAACTAGGCAGTAAGTGTTGCGTTGACGTTCATTTCGCAAGCACGCATTATATAATACGGGCAAATATCCATCTTCTTCTATATCTGTTTTAATAAGAACTATTTTTCAAGTCGTTAACATCTTAGGTTGTAAGAGTCAGGCCACCACGCTGTGAAGTCGCGTTCCTCAGGGCAAACGCACGCGCACGCACACAAACCATCTAGTTATGTCAAGATAAACAGACACGCATATATATATATATATTATCTATAACATCTGTGTACATAATATCACCAGGGTACATAATATCACCACCTTGAGAAACAGTGTGCTTAAAGATATTTTTACTGCAACATACTTTTGGTATGCACTCCTACATACCTAAAATGTAGGACCTTGCAGTAAAAATCTCTTTAAAATTTAGATAGTACTACTATTTCTCAAGGTGGTGATATTATGTACCCTGTTGATATTATGTACACAGATGTTACACACACACACGAGCACTTGCACATACTAACACGCGATCAATAGTATCAAATTGATAAGAGGTGTGTATTGAATACACATCTCGGGTAGGTGTTAACTAGGTGTGAAAAGGTCCCGGTCAAGTTAATCCTCGTCGCAGGTTTAGATAAGATCTTAATCCTCGTCGCAGGTTTAGATAAGGACTTAATCCTCGTCGCAGTCTCCGACGTGATTTGCAAGGCCCGACGTGATTTGCAAGGCCCGACGTGATTTGTAAGCTCCGACGCGTTTGTAAGCTCCGACGCGTTTGTAAGCCCGACGCATTTGTAAGCCCCGGCGCATTTTAAGTCCGACGCAGTCTAAAGCACCGACGCAGTTATAAGACGGCCGAGAGCAATAAGACGACATCGGCAGCTGTGTTATATCGTCAACGTACAGTAATTTTGTCGGGATGAAAAAAACACGTTTGCGGCCGTAAACTACACTTAAGCCCGAGAGATGGATTGTCTTTAATGATGATACCTGCCCAAGAGACTCGGGTAGTGTCTCGATGCCACAGTAGCTGAGATTGAGTTCCTCAATATATTCCAGCTGTTCCAATCCGTCTGGCAACAGGAACAAGGAGCAGTTGTCCTCCATATCCAAGATCTTCAGCTTCGGAGGAACATTCAGCCACAGGTCTCCGCGTCGGTTGTTGAGTTTATTGCGTTTCATCTCCAAGCAGTCAAGACGGCCGAGTGACATGATGGAATCGGGAATGCTTTCAAAGGCGTTATCGGTGAGGATCAGGACTTTCAGCCGCTTCAGTCCCGACATGTCAGCCGGTAGTGTGGACAGCGCGTTTTTGGACAGATCAATGGTTTCAACTGTGGGCAGGAGAGTAAGATTGTCGGGGAGAGACGAGAGGCTACAACTGCACAAAGAAACGTATTCAAGGTACCTCAGCCGCATCATTGTTGCTGGAAGAGTTACTGTGGCCATCAGCGGATTTCTTGAAAAGTCAACTTTGCTCAGATACTTGCACTCTTTGATGGTACCGCTGACCTCTGTGATGGGACAACCGGCCACTCTCATCTCCTTCAGGTTAGCCAGACTCGCGATGTTCACCGGTATCGAGCCCACAGGGTTGTCTGACACGTCCAGGATTTCTAGTTCCTCGATAAGGAAGACGGCTTGTGGTATCTCCTTCAGGGACTTGTTGGAGAGGTCTAATTCTTTCTCCCTGATTTGGGCCCTTAGGTATGACTCTGTCCAACCTCCTGTTGTGGCTGGCGTCCGTGGTCGTACCTTTGATGATCTTGGTCTTCGAGTGCGATCCATTTTGGGCCCCAGTGTTGTGTTATCTGATGAACACACATTTTTAGATTATAGTGACTATAATTGGGGATGTACAGATGTAATTATGTATGACATTTTTCTAAGACGTTTCTAGAGAAGCCCGCATCATTGCTGAAGACCAACTGAAACCCACCCCCTGACAAGATTCCTACATTTTCAAATTTTTACATCAGAAACCAAGTTAAACAAGAAATGAACAAAAAAGCGTTCTGCTGTCCACTTTTGCGCCCACAACATGCGTGTTTACTTGGTTTGTAGTGAGGAATTCCACGGGCGTGCGAACTGCGCACAGCCTAAGGAACGGCACGCGTGCAAAATTATAGCGGGGTGAGTATTAGTACGCGTGCAAACTGACGTGAATTGAGTAAGCGCACGCCGTGCAAACCCTCATTTGGGGTACCCAAAATATAGCTGCACTACAAATAAGCCAGAGACAAAAAGAACAGATTTTTGTGTACGCTATTGGCCATTAGCACATTTTGGCTCAAACCTGGCCCTTACACTACTATATAGTTCATCACTGTACCGAGCTATGTGTTACCTTTGGTGCCTCCCTTTATCAGTACTGGTTGGCATCTGGGGCCAAACTAATGGGTTTAGACGTTTGACAGGTTAACAACTAGATTAAAGAGGTGAAAGATTAGCCCAACGTAGTTGAGCAACGAGCCGAACTTGCTATGGATCATGTTGCTATGCACGAATGTACGGAAAGTCTAGTCAGACTCAACAGGTCAACTCTACTGGAATGGTTATAAATCATTTGTAAATGGGCGTTAAAAAGCAGTTTTTAGGGCTTGTAAACCAGATTTTTCAAAGTCAATATTCTAGTCACTTATCAAAGTTGAAACAACACTGTCCCAATGTATATCGACCTTCATGGAGCAAAAATGCCAAAAAGTCTGACAAAAAACAGTTACTGGAAGGACTTGGATTGATTTTAGAGTACCACCCCAAAATCAAGGGGCTTGTTTCTGCAGTTCTAAATGCCTAAAGTATGAAATACTGATTCAAATGTGCTCATGTGGTACAGTATGTGTCAATATTGTATGTGTCAATGCGTATGCACCTGTTTTGCCCTCCCTTTCATTTTGTGAAAAATCAAAATAAACAAATAGACAAATATTGTGCCCTTGGGAAAGTCACTTTACACGACTTTCCTCCCTTCACTTAGATGGAAATCAGTACCTACCCTCTGATAGGACGTCAAATAGAGGTCCCGTGTTTGGGTTAGAGCCACACCCCACGCACGTTAAAGAACCCACCGCACTTATCGAAAAGAGCAGGGGACCTTCCCGGTGTGAGTGGTTCAAACCTTACAGTCCGGTCTTACGCAGCTTGTACATGTACTTACATGTACAAAGCTGGTGTGTTACGCCTAAATGTATTTTACTGGTTATGCGAAACAAACAAGCAAACAGAAGAGCGAAAAAATGCTATGGACATTTTGTTGTGTTTCACAGTAACAAGGCATATCCAGAGTAACCCACTGTACTCACGTTTTACCTGCAAACGAGGTGTTTATTTGCATGATTGATATCCAGTGCTGTTTTGCCCACCCTACACTTCTTATACCTAAAGTTACATTGCTTACATTTGAACGATGTTAAGAGCAAGTAATAGAATAAGTGACAAATAATCCCTGCATGGTAAAAGATGTTGTTGACGTCTATCATATATAGAAACAAAAACATTACAACAATAGCAAACATTTCCTACCCTTGTTGTGGGGAGTTGGAAGCCAGTTGTACAGCGTGTTGCAAAGATGTCAAGAATGGTAACAGGAGAACAAACTAACGAGCATGTAAAAATACTGTCAGGACGCAAAATGTCCACACGCTGTTGTTCAGCCAGGTGACCAAAACACGCCTGACTGCCAATGTCTATTCAGGCAGAATGATTGACAGTTTTACAGATGTTTGTCCTTCATTCAATTCAATCAGGGGGTTGTTTGAAGAAGATGTTGAGATAAACGTCACTGCGTCCGTCTATGTGATCATGACTGGTCATAAACATCACAGTAAAACATGACACCAACATTGATGAATGATTTCAACCAACAAGAAAATTTAATTATCATGAAAGTTCATCTGTGTTGGTAGTAATCATAGTAAAACGTTAAACTTTATTCCAACACACTATTTACAGGGATCAAATTTTCAGCGACCACTGTCGCCTTCATCAGGATAATTAATGACCAATCACTTCACAAAGTGATCTCGCGAGAGTTACGGTTTACAATGTCACGTGTTTGTAAACCGCAACTCTCGTGAGATCACGTTGTGAAGTGATTGGTCATTAATTATGCTGATGAAGGCGACAGTGGTCGCTGAAAATTTGATCCCTGTAAATAGTGTGTTGGAATAAAGTTTAACGTTTTACTAAGAAAATTTAACGAACAAAATGGCACACAATGAACCCAATTCACAGAACAAGTGACATACAAGGGAATGCACTTTACATTAGTAAGAATGATATCTTGTAAAATATGTAGGAAGTTACTACTTTTGACAGTCATCTATATTTTAAATGTGTTACTTACCACTGAACACATCCATGTTTTCAGAACTGTTTCTTCGTTTCCCGGTTCCTCATTGTACGTGTGTTGTTGTGCATGCTGGTAACTCCTTTGTAACGTATGTTTACATGTGTTAATTAATCACAATCCACGTCTCAAGTATTTGCCACGTTTAGAGATCGGCTCTTTTATTTCTTTTACAAACTATTTCCCACAAGTTACGTTAAATATTGATTCTGGTAAGCTAAGATTCTACAAATTGTACCCTCTATAACAATGAACGAAATGAACTCTTTGACGTAGCCTCCAAATTCTACCCAAACTTTCACACATGTACAAATGAAACCTACTCTCCTCTTAACATCCGAAAACCCACAAATTACAGAAAACGTGGGATCCTTAGTCTTCCTCTGTCTTCAAAAAAGAGGCAAACCCAGTAGTTTTTACTAGTAGTTTCTTAGTAGTTATCAGTAGTTCTATGTGTACTAATTGTCTGTTTTTATACCATATGTTTCTTCTGTTCCTGCAATTAGCCATCGGGTACGAATTTGCAATAAAGCAATTATATTGTACAAGTCATTGCGCTCATTGGTCTACGAGAAATGCACACTAACCTACATGATACATGTTTCAGCCTGATGTTATACAAATGCTTGCATTGTTTAATAGGCTTCGTTTTAGGTTCGACAACATAAAACATGCAAAGGGAGTCTTTTTATTTGTCATGTCGGCTCATGACACATTTCATTTATAGAGGGACATTTATACAAGTTAGAGGGACATTTATACAAGTTAGAGGGACATTAGAGAGGAGAAGTTATGTATCCCGTAAAGTGCCCTCCCATGTCTTTAGAGCCCTTTGTTTTTGTTGCTGACAAGATGATTGCAGCTTTTGGGTTCGCATACACATCTGGAAGGCAAGGCCCCGCTCTCCTTCCCAACATGGTTGTTATTAAATCTGTATAAAATGCAAAATGCCAAATAAATCCCAAATATATAAATAAAGGAACTGGATAAATTCTCTGGTAAACACAGATAATACCAGACAATATCAATTGAACACTACTAAGATAATAATATATTTATATTAATAATTATACCAAAAGCATTACTATTAACGCTAATACCAGACAATATTAATATAAAGTCGGTAATAACAGATAATACTCAAGCTGACAAAATTGTAAATCAATGATGTGCCTAGACTGCATAAAAACCATATTCCCCAATAGACAATCATTCGTTAAGAATCTTGGCTACAATATTATGGAAAACACGCAACTATTAGATACCCTGTGTATGTTGTCGTTTAAAACAAATCAGTTGAAGGTATATTATAGTTGTCTGAATCCCTGTGAAGCACTGTCGAGCGCTTTGTTTTTACAGATAATCTACTTACGGTGGGTGGGGTTATTTGGGCTGTCGCGAGAGGTTTCGCTTCTCCTTGCCCCGGACCACGTGGAGGATGATATATTTCCTTTCGTCCGGGGTAAAGCATTACCCTGGATGTAGCGCCCTTTCCCTTGTCCACAAGAGTCACGTCGAACTCTCTAATGCGTGGCCTGTTGCAATAAAAGTTGAAGTTGACTCCGTAGTAGCTATTAGTTGCTTCCACGTTTGGACGAATGCTGCCCATGAAGATGGCACAGAACGTCTCTCCTTCCATCATGCTCATCGTGGGAGTTGGCGTCCCTTCCTGATAAAGCAAAGTAAAATTCACAAAATTAAAATGTAATACGGAATTGGTTGTCAAGACAAAGTATAGACGACGAGCAAACTACTTCATCAGAACTGATAAGAATAGGTAGCTATGGTGCTATATACATCAGCTAGTTATATGAAAGGTCGTGCATAAATGCCTACTATGGAATGGGTACCGCTCTAGTCTTACCTGGCGCTCATATCCCTCCTTTGTTACCATGCGACAGATGCGATCTTCAACCAATTCCTCCAGAACACACTCCATCCGGGCGGTCATGACTCCCTCCTCCCGGGGCTCCTTCCACTTCTTGAAGATGACAGCTCTAACCCGTCTAGTCCGGGTGTTCTTGGCTACCAAGGCGACGATTTTGTTAGGATCGATGATTTTGTCGCATCGAAGAACTGTGAAGCTGAATATCAATAATTTTTATAGATCATCTGACTTTGGGGAAATGCATGTCCTCACCATTCAATATCAAAGTTATGCTCACGTTTGAATACCAGCAAAATATCGAATTTTAACGTGCCTACATCTACAAGAATGTCAGTGGCATGGATAGGGTATAATATGTTTTTCTTCTACCAAATCTCCCCCTTTCATCAACAAGAGTCTAGTACTCACCCAGAACTGAGCCGGTCTGTCTTGAAAGCCACCTTTGACTCCTCCAGAATGACATCCTCCACTTTACTGGTGACATCTTCCCAATCACCGTCCTCATTACAGCTGAGGACGCGGACTCGACTGTCTTCTTCACCAGGCGACAGCGGCAGGACGATGGTGGCAGGGCTGTTGAGAAGCAGTTTGTTGCCTTTTATGAACCTGACGATGTGGCTCATTCCATTGATGCCTTCCATCCCATTGTCTTCCATTCCAGCACAGGTGAGGGTTTCCGTATCAACCGGGATTACCTTTGATAAAAAGGATGATGTTTGTTATGTGTAAAAACGCTATCAAGTCATTTTAATCATAATCGTAATGCATATTTATACATTTTGATCAGATCTATTTTTTTTATTAATATGAATTTCTTTCTAGGTTGCCAGTGGCCAGAAGTTACATTTCCTAAAGTCTCTCACCTTAAACGATATATCCTCCTCAGAGGGGACGCAGTCCTGTGGAAGGGATATCTTAATTCCTGTCTGTTTCGAAGACTTCAGTTCTGATGCTTCACCTTTCCTTACTTTGTGGCAGCGCTCAGACATTCGCGCCACAACGGCAAACGAAGAGAAGTGCGCTACCTCCACTATGACGTAGGCTTGACCCTGAAAAGTGTAAACCATTATTCAACAAGTGTTACTGCAGAAACAAAACAATCTCAACATCTCACAATCTGTAAGAAAATAATTTTACAGTGTATATACATGGGTCGTAGAGATCCCACCTCTAAAACGAAATTATAGACACTCACTTTCTCTTGACAGCTTAGTGTCTCCAGAGCCTTCCACGTCACTCCATCGTCCTCTGACGTCATCATAACGTACTCCCGTTCCTTGTCGAACTTGGGTAAGGAATGGGCGATCTTCAGCTTTACGGGCTTAGAGAACGTCATCCCCGATGGTCTCATTTCAACAAGTAGCTCGTTTTCGTCTAGTTTGAGCGTTCTGTCGTACCCGTGCGGGTTCAGCACTGCTGAAATGACAGATGTATCTTCTTCTGTCGCTGCCGGAGGGATGCTCAAGTTGCAGCTAGCCAGGAGGTCCAATGACTGCACCGTGGCTGAGGCTGCTGAAATTCCAAAGCTGTAGATTACAAAAAGATGAGTAGGTTCTTCAATTAAATTTAAACTTAAATCCGCCAAATCACAAAAATACATTCAGGTCTACTTCTCTTCATTCACCTACTTATATTCTTATCTAGACTAAAGAGTGTAACGGGCTACAAGTCTAGGCACTTACCTGACGGGCTTGTCGTATTGTTCTGGAACAGTTTGCCCCAGGCGCCACTCTTCCTCCTGTTCCAAGACGACTGACTTTGCTGTTGCCGTGATGATTTCCTCCAGAAGCTCTTCCATCACCGGGCGTGCCTTTGCATCTAAGATGGCGTTTTCTTCGTCGTCGACGGTTTCCTTGCTGAATTCCCTCACAAGCTCAAACAGGATGGACTTGAAAATCTCTCCTGTGAATTCTTCTTCTGAGACTGCAACGTCTGCCATGCACATCATCAGATCATCGGGTAACCCCCCTTCAACGATAGTGACAATGTCGTCTGACAGATTTTCAATGATTGTGTCGTCAATAACCTCCGTTGCTATGGTGACGGTCACGTGGTTGAAGCAGTCCTCTGCCAACAGGTCGGTCCGTACGGAGACTACACCTTCTCTGACAATTTTGTGATCTGGAACTTGTAGTGCCGGAGTGTTGCTAAGGACGAGGCCCGTGTTTTTGCCCATAGCTTTGTCTTTTAGCTCCCTCAAGCGGTGAAGCGAAGGTGGCAAGCTGGAAAGCCGACGGTTTCCCTCCAAATCAAGGGTTTCCAGATTGAGCAGCCGCCCGAAGCTGTCAAGAAGCGTGCAAAGTTTGTTACCAGCAAGATGGATTGTCTTTAATGATGATACCTGCCCAAGAGACTCGGGTAGTGTCTCGATGCCACAGTAGCTGAGATTGAGTTCCTCAATATATTCCAGCTGTTCCAATCCGTCTGGCAACAGGAACAAGGAGCAGTTGTCTTCCATATCCAAGATCTTCAGCTTCGGAGGAACATTCAGCCACAGGTCTCCCCGTCGGTTGTTAAGTTTATTGCGTTTCATCTCCAAGCAGTCAAGACGACCGAGTGACGTGATGGAATCGGGAATGCTTTCAAAGGCGTTATCGGTGAGGATCAGGACTTTAAGCCGCTTCAGTCCCGACATGTCAGCCGGTAGTGTGGACAGCGCGTTTTTGGACAGATCAATGGTTTCAACTGTGGGCAGGAGAGTAAGATTGTTGGGGAGGGACGTGAGGCTGCAACTGCACAAAGCAACGTATTCAAGGTACCTCAGCCGCGTCATTGTCGCTGGAAGAGTTACTGTGGCCATCAGCGGATTTCTTGAAAAGTCAACTTTGCTCAGATATTTGCACTCTTGAATGGTACCGCTGACCTCTGTGATGGGACAACCTGCCACTCTCATCTCCTTCAGGTTAGCCAGACTCGCGATGTTCACCGGTATCGAGCCCACAGGGTTGTCTGACACGTCCAGGATTTCTAGTTCCTCGATACGGAAGACGGCTGGTGGTATTTCCTTCAGGGACTTGTTGGAGAGGTCTAATACTTTCTCCCTGATTTGGGCCCTTAGGTATGACTCTGTCCAACCGCCTGTTGTTGCTGGCGTCCGTGGTCGTGCCCTTGCTGATCTTGGTCTTCGAGTACGTGCGGTCCATTTTGGGCCCTAGTGTTGTGTTATCTGATGAACACAAATTTTGAGATTATAGTGACTATAATTGGGGATGTACAGATGTAATTATGTATGACATTTTTCTAAGACCTTTCTAGAAACGCCCGCATCATTGCTGAAGACGTCCGAACCCCATCCCCTCAAAAGATTCCTAAATTTTCACATTTTTACACCAGAAACCTTGTTAAACAAGGAATGAACAAAAAGCGTTCTGCCGTCCACTTTTGCGCCCACAACATGCGTGTTTACTCGGTTTGTAGTGAGGAATTCCACGGGCGTGCGAACTGCGCACAGCCTGAGGAACGGCACGCGTGCAAAATTAGAGCGGGTGAGTATTAGTACGCGTGCAAACCGACGTGAATTGAGTAAGCTGCAATAGTCTGCAGTTACTGGAAGGACTTGGATTGATTTTAGGGTACCACCCAGAAGATTTCTTGGGGCTTTGGTTCTGCAGTTCTAAATGCCTAAAGTATGAAATGCTGATTCAAATGTGCTATTGTGGTACAGTATGTGTCAATATTGTACGTGTCAATGCGTATGCACATGTTTTGCCCTCCCTTTCACTTTGTGAAAAATCAAAATAAACAAACAAACAAATATTGTGCCCTAGGGAAAGGCTTTACACGACTTTCCTCCCTTCACTTAGGTGGAAATGAGTACCTACCTTCGGTTAGGTACGTCCCTCGGATAGGACGTTAAATGGAGGTCCCATGTTTGGGGAGAGCCACACCCCACGCACGTTAAAGAACCCACCGCACTTATCGAAAAGAGCAAGGGACCTTCCCGGTGTGAGTGGTTCAAACCTTACAGTCCGGTCTTACGCAGCTTGTATTCGCATGTACAAAACTGGTGTGTTACGCCTAAATGCATTTTACTGGTTATGCGAAACAAACAAGCAAACAGAAGAGCGAAAAAATGCTATGGACATTTTGTTGTGTTTCACAGCAACAAGGCATATCCAGAGTACCCCATTTTATTCAAATATGACAGCCTTCCCCCGAACTTTGCTACCCCTTCCACAGTGTTTTACCGGAGTTTGTGAATTTTCGACAATGACCCAAAACGGATACCGATTTGTTTCACCCTGAGAGGTCTTGACTTTAAGTAGAAGTAATTAATTTTTGCACATTCCCCAAGGCATTCTTTAATTTGAGATAGCAAGCATGCTGATCATAGGATGCATGGATATTATATTTCAGACACGATGTATTACGGCATGTATGTAACGACAAAGGCCGTATTTGCTCTGGAGCAAATACAATACATTTTAGTCATACCTTACCCATAAAATGGGGTCCAGTTAAAAACACACTCACTAAAAATAACTTTTTACAATCACCAAGTCCAAAATTGATTTCTGAAAATGCCAACTACCCTATTTAAAAACATGCAAAAACATTTCCACACTAAATATACCTTTTTTCCTGATCATCCCTGTTTGAAATTGAACTGAAAACTAGTTGGAAGAATTACATTATGTAGTTACATGTGTGTCCATGTACGTGTATGATTGCAGCTATTAAGTAAGTAAAACTGCATCCGACAGTGGACACTGGAGTGTACGGACACATGTGTACGGATTACTTAGGCAAACACCTAACAAATGTATGGAATAATGTGATTATAAAATTATATTCCTGTACTGGAATCTTGCACAGTAACGTTTTACCTGCAAATGAGGTATTTATTTGCATGATTGATACCCAGTGTTGTTTTGTCAATACTACAATACTTAAAGTTAAAGTTACGTTGAGCAAGTAAGAAAATAAGTGACAAATAATCCCTGCATGGTAAAAGATGTTGTTGACGTCTATCATATATAGAAACAAAAACATCATAACAATAGCAAACATTTCCTACCCTTGTTGTGGAAAGTTGGAAGCCAGTTGTACAGCGGGTTGCAAAGATGTCAAGAATGGTAACAGGAGAAAGACCCTATAAAACGCTGTCAGGACACAAAATGGTCATGAGTCCACACGCTGTTGTTCAGCCAGGTGACCAAAACAAGCCTGAATTCCAATGTCTATTCAGGTGGTTGGGGACAGGTGCATTCATAGGCAGAGTGATTGACAGTTTTACAGATGTTGGTCTTTCATTCAATTCAATTAGGGGGTTGTTTAAAGAAGGTGTTATAGGCATCCAGTGCAGTTTTTAGAGCTTGGAAACCAGATTTTTCAAAGTCAATATACTAGTCATTTACCTACATACCGAGTTGAAACAACACTATCCCAATGTATATGGACCCTCATGGAGCAAATATATTTTAAAAATCCTGACAGAAAATGGTTACTGGAAGGCCCCTGGCTGATTTTTAGGGTACCTCCCATAAAATAAAAGCACTCATTTTGGGACCTGTTTCTGCAGTTTAAAAAGTATGAAATACTGGTTGAAATGTGCTACTGTGAAGCAGTATGTGTCAATATCATAAAGATTGCCTTATTCTGAATATTTCCAGTTTTACTGCTCTGAAATCGCATCGGATGCCTTTAAGATAAACGTCACTGCGTCCGTCCATGTGATCATGACTGGTCATAAACATCACAGTAAAACATGACACCAACATTGATGAATGATTTCAACCAACAAGAAAATTTAATCATTATCATCGAACAAAATGGCACACGATGAACCCAATTCACAGAACAAGTGACATAAAAGTGAATGCACTTTACTGTAGTAAGAATGACATCATGTAAAATATATACTTTTAGGAACGTTTGACAGTCATCTATATTTTCTTTTTTTTTTTCAAGTCAAGTTAAGTCAAGTTTATTGCGCAACAATTGCATTTGATACAATGTATGGCAAATAACAATAACTATAAACTACTTCTAGTAGTGTACCAATCTAACTTCAATGCATGTATATATGTTATAATGGGCTGTTACATTTCACATTGCTGTGACATTGTTTCTCTTTTGTATAGCATTATGTACATATTGTCCTGGATAAACAGATACAGAGTCGGGGCATGATAACAGCATGTTGAAAATTTCTCTACTTTTTCCAGGTAGTGTTATTTTACTCTTACATGATATCATTAGTTTTTTTTCCTTTCTTCGTTGTGGAAGAGCTTCCACGAGCTCCTTCCCATACTTGCAGATCGAAGCATTCCATTCATAAATCGCGGTCATGTTTTTAACTCCTGTGTTAGAAGCGTAATGCTTTATGCGTCGGAGACTTGGGCGGTGTCCTCGGAAGACATTAGAAGGTTAGTCAGGTGTGATAACGCCATGATTAGGTGGATATGCTCCAGTAGACTGGCTGATAGAGTGTCAAGTGAACAGCTTAGGTGTAGGTTAGGCGTAAGCAACCTACGAGAGATCTTGCGCTACAACAGACTTCGCTGGTATGGGCACATACAAAGGATGGACCCGCAGAACTGGCCAAGGAAGGTCATGACAATGCCCGTAGAGGGCCGGAACCCGCGTGGCCGTCCAAAAAAGAGATGGGTAGACAGTATTAGGGAAGATGTCAAAAACTTGAAACTGCAGAAGGCCAACCCGCTAGACAGAGACAGCTGGAGAGCAGCTATTAGACCTAAACGACACCCCACGACGTCCAACCCTTGCATGACGAGGAACAACGGACGTTAAGCCGTACAGTGAGTGTGAGTGAGTGTTGTACCAATGACCACTGACCACTGGCCACGTCCATGTTTTCAGAACTGTTTTTCCATCGGTGCACCGTTTCCTGGTTCCTCATTGTACTAGTGTTGTTACGCATGCTGATAACTCCTTTGTAATGTATGTTTACATGTGTTAATTAATCACAATCCACGTCAAGTATTTGCCACGTTTAGAGATCAGGTCTTTTATTTCTTTTACAAACTATTTCCCACAAGTTAAATATTGATTCTGGTAAGCTAAGGTTCTACAAAAAATGTAAACAACATATTCTATGTACTCTCCAAGCAGAGGTAGGGTCGCTCGGTATTTTGGCAGTATTTTCGCGTTTTTAATACGTCTTTCTACTTTTACGGTTTTTCTCTGGTAAGGGGAGGAAGACCAGAGAAAAACCGTAAAAGTAGAAAGACGTATTAAAAACGCGAAAATACTGCCAAAATACCGAGCGACCCTACCTCTGCTTGGAGAGTATATTCTATGGAGAAATACGTGGAATTAATTGATTTTGACATTCGCTCTGCAATAAGTAAATTAAGAATTAGTGCACACCCTCTCGAAATTGAGAGAGGGCGATATAAGAAGCTCCAAGTGTATGAAAGAATTTGCAAACATTGTACGTTGAATACGGTGGAAGGCGAAACGCATTTTATCTCAAATTGTACCCTCGATAGCAATGGACAAAATGAACTCTTTGACGTAGCCTCCAAATTCTATCCAAACTTTCACACATACATGTATACAAATAAAAAGAAAACTACTCTTCTCTTAACATCCGAAAACCCACAAATTAGACGCTAAAAATAACCCCAAACCCAAACCTCTGCTTTGAGAGTAATGCCACGGACCTATCTCCAGCTGGTTTCCCTGTATCCGCTGACTTCCTGTATTACGCTTAGTCTTCTGTTAGTGTTAGCGAAGAAACATAAAACCGACCCGAAGCGCGGTAATACTGAGGTCACATTTCCAAACCGGGGCCCGGCCGGGCAGTCTTATGGAACGAAAAATATGGTATGAAAGACAGCAAAGCACAAAAAAATTGAAAAATAATAATAATGGAACTATTTGCGTATATTCTTGATAAAAATTGTTGATTTTTTGTTAGTTTAAACAGCCCGGCCGGTGTCAAGCCAAATACATGATCCTGCCAAATACATGATCCTGCCAAATACATGATCCTGCCAAATACATGATCCTGCCAAATACATGATCCTGCCAAATACATGATCCTGCCAAATACATGATCCTGCCAAATACATGATCCTGCCAAATACATGACTCCGCCACTACTTGGGGGTTTCCAATGTACCTAAGACAAGGGGTAGGAGGGGTTAAGTCGTGATGGGGGAGACTAAACCTAACCTAACCCCAATCGTAAGTCTAACTCTAGCCCTGAACAATGATCCCAACCCTAACCCTAATATTAACCCTAACCCTAGCCCTGAACACCTGCTCAACGCCGGGCATCGGCTTGGAAATGTGACCTCAGCTTAATTGAGGCCTGGTTGGCGGCCCCAAACGCTCTCGGCGCCGAAGGGATAGCGCTGACCTCACGACGGTCTGGTTACCACGCCAAGGCAACGACCGTTCGGAGGAAAGGCAACGACCTTTTACGAGACGGAAATTTGAGTCGACACGCTCCCCAGACTCACTTGTTACCACGCCCACTTCAGTGTTCCAGGGCTTTTCTTTTATCAAAAACACAGGCTCGCGAGTAGAGAACAATCTCTGCAGGCTCTAATTCCAACTGGACATGATACAATTGATGACTCATCTGGGTGATTGACAGATGTTCGGCATGATTAGAACAATAGATCTACCCTTAAGGGCGACAAGTTACCATGGGAACTGCATACTTAAGAGGTAAAACCTGTTCAGCAACGTCATCTTAAGATACTGTCAGCGAACTGGTATTTTCGCCCGACAACCTGTGTGAAAAGGGAAGAGTAGACCTCGGCACTGTGTCTTCAACAAGACTGAGTGTCAATTCTGGATATCAGAAACTCCAGTCGCTGTCATGATACGGTTCAGGCTGGTCTGAAAAGCGGACAGACTTCTGTCAACACACGGTTCAGTTTCCTGAATGTCCCGAAGCGAAGTTTCCGACACCAATACAGGTAGGTGTCATCATGGTTGTACCTCCATTTGCATCTCAACATGTGTTCTTCAAACTTCTGTATTCGTAGATTTTTAATCGTTTAAAATGAGAAAACTAATATCAAATATGAAGAATTAACATTTCTTAACATTTCTTTAGCGTTCTTTGGTGTTGGAAGATATAGCTCAAAACGTAAATCAGTTTGCATTCGCTTACAATGTTGTTCTTTATGTAAGAGTTTGCAAATGGACTCTTTATATTCAAACAGAAGATTGTGTATAGCTCATCATCGTGTTACAGTGTATGTAGAAATCTGGACTAGGATTGTCATGACGACAGTTATCTATTGATGGAACAAAAATGCACATCAAAGTTAAGGAATATATTTGCGGGGTAGACAGAGCATTGGGCCTCTGCAAAGCGTAAAGTCATTTTTCACTGCATCTACAGACAACATTGCTTTGTCCTTTGTTGTGGTCATAGGTGTGGCGAGGTGTCACAGGTATGAAAATGAAAGAAGCATTTATGTGTAATGTAAGTGAGGATAGTCCGTGTAGATTGCTAGTAGGAAACCATGATTAGTAGTCTTAGTCGGCAGAAGTGGCCCCAAGAGACAACTAAGGCCACACCGACTTAATTTTATGGATGACATCCTCTGAAGACCCCCAACCTAGTGCGCGCGGGCGAATAAAAAAAAATTCCGGCCAAAAATAAAAATGCTACCAAACCACAGGAATACAAAGCTGGTATTGATAATTTGCGGCAGTACTACTTAGCAACGTATACGACAAACCGGCACATGCTGGCTTTTTGCGGAATTTATGAATCGACACTGTACGTATGTACTGACTTCTGGAGTCGTGGTGCTTCGGTAGCCTGGGTGCACGTCTCCGTATTGTCGCTAACTACCATGGACTACCCAGGCCTAGAGCCAGGCTAGGGCTTCGGTGGACGTGATCTTTTTTTTTTTCATTTGGAGAACAGGCAAAAATCAATGCGCGCGCGGATGTCATCCATACAATTAAGGCAGTGTGGCCTAATCGGATGGGCGTTGACAGGGCAGGGCGGACACATCCTATGGATAGAATGATTTATGTAAGAGTTTTAGACGGAAAAGTTTGCAACTCTGTTGGCTCATCTTCGGTAAAATTTGACAAATCGTACAGTTTTGGGTGATAGACCCAGGAAAGACCACCAAAGAGAACAGTCGTGTGCTAGATTCGGGAGACTTTGGTTGTTGGGAAAACAAAACATGTACATAACACGAACACGACAGGGCGGTGTAATGTCCGATAGGGGATTACGAAAGTTTTTTTTTAACGGAAAGTGACCATATGATTGATCACACCACCAAGACGTCATGTGTGACGGAAGAACAACAGGAGGTAAGGTAAGGTAAGGGTGGCTTCCCCAGATTCAGGTAACACTATTAATATCCATCCATCCATTGCCATTGCCGATGTGTGAACAATAATGATATGATGTCAACATATTTTATCATCATATATATTCATTGTCCTGATTGGCATCCCACGCATTTTATTTTCCTTGCGGCGTCGGGTTAAAAGATCAAGATAATCCATCACAAACTTTTATTATAATATCAAATCACATCCCCCAGGCTTAGAGATCATAGGTCGCTGTCTTACGTGACAACTAATTGATTCTATGCGGGCACCGCCTTATTGTCCCTTATTCTATGTCCTTACATAAGGCCACACCGCCTTAATTGTATGGATGACATCCGCGCGCGCATTGATTTTCGCCTGATCTCCAAAAAAAAGAGATCACGTCTTCCGAGGCTCTGGCCTGGCTCTAGGCGTGGTGGTTAGCGACAATACGGAGCCGGGTACCCAGGCTACCGAAGCTCCACGACTCAAGAACTCAGTACATACCTACAGTGTCGATTCATAAATTCCGCCAAAAAGCCAGCACGTGCCGGCTTGTCGTATACGTCGCTTTGCAATGCGCCAAATTCACAATACGAGCTTTGACTTTGTATTCCTGTGGTTTAGTAGCATTTTTATTTTTGGCCGGATTTTTCTTTTTTTTTTCGCCCGCGCGCACTAGTTTGGGGGTCCTCAGAGGATGTCATCCATAAAATTAAGTCAGTGTGGCCTTGCAGGTTTGGGGATGATTCGGATGGGAGAAGTTTGTTGACAATTCTTCATTTCGCCGCATTTCAGAGCTTGACACCAAAGTGACCGACCGTCCATGTTTTCAAGTCTTTTCCCCCCCTTTCTTCCGCAACCCAGCTCTGCAAGGTCCCGCTCAACCGTCCCTTTTTTCAAGTCAGTTTGCCCCCCCCCTCGTTTTTCTGCTGTTCAGCGCCACCCTTACAAGGAATCCTAACTAGTGACTACACGTATTTCTTACTACATGGAACATACTACAAGAAAACGCATTCTGGCTCTTTGCAGGCTCCTCTCTGCACCAGAGGTGACGACTACATCAGATAGAACTGTACTGTAACTCTCGATCGGAAATTTCTTTCGTTTGTAGTAGAATACATACTATCGCATACTAGCAGCCAACAGGCCAAACTGCATACTAATGCAGCAAAGGGATCGTGAGTTAAGGCCTGGTCACAACCCGCCGTAGGTGCTTCTGCGTGCTGTCTACGGGCAAAAACGTGGGCAAACGCAGGGCATCCGTGCGTGGTGAGTACCGCCTCCGTACGGAATCCTACGGATTGGGAGCACGCAGACACGCCGTACAATTTTAGTGCAACATGTAAAACTTTTTCTGCTGTCTGCGGATTCACCACCCGTACGTGCGACGCGCGTGCCCCGTACAGCCTATGAGCGTACAACGCTCGTTTTCAGAAAAACATAGCAGACGTGGCGTCCCCCCCCCCCCAAAAAAAAAACGTACGGACAAAAAGCACCCACGGCGGGTTGTGACCAGGGCTTTACAGCTGAAAACGTACGGAGACTTGTCATTCGCGGACTTATAACACCACAGCCCGGGTCATCGGGGTTAGACAAAGACGTCAGAAATGTCAAACCGTGCCCCGGGCGAGGAACGAAGGTGGATGGACAAGATAACTCACATTTTTGTCAAAATTCGTCAAATTGACTTCTGATTCTATGAAGGTTGATAACGTTTGATATTCAAGAAGCAGCCTGAACTCTGGTGTGCGTACGAAGATCTAAGACAGTTCGTGATGTTCCTGACAAGAAAATGACACAAGGATACAAGGAAAACTTCTAAAACATTGACACTAAAAAGAAACTTAGAAAAAGTTTAGAACAAATTCATATTTTCCATGTCATCGAACATGCAAATGTCAATAAAGCTGAACCTTACATTTGTGAGATCTGGCGGACGGATACGACATGTAAAATATCATCACTGGGACCAAAACAACGAGGCTGGGAGTTTAATATGTGTACACTGAGTGGACTAGAGTAAACTACTACAATTTTACATTGTCAACTAATTGTGCGGACTCAGGTATATGTAATGTCTTCTCTATAGGCAAGTCATTTTCCATCCAAATAACTGTGAGCGCTGACGCCAACTTGTTTTGCCCCAAATGTACACAGCCTAATCATGTCGTGTAGCAGTATCGGTGCAGTTATGCGTAAATCAGGTCATCTTTTGTCACCTACGAAAATTACAGGTCATCTCATAGGAGAATGTACAGCCTGAGGCATTCGGAGTGGAGGAGAAACAAATTGGGACAAAGGATTCTCACTGCACTGATATTTGTAATGATGATATTTGCAGCGGTAGAAAGCTCCCATACTGAGGAGGAATCTTGAAAATTGGCTCAGCACAATTCACAGAAGTTGACTGATTGTCGTGAGGGTTGTCCTGGGGGATTTGCTAAATCAAGCCTGCTTTTGGAAATCTCTTTAGCAAGCTTGATGACTACTTGGGTGGTTTATAAAAGTCAAGATGTTAATGGATTTTCTTATCCATTGATTTAGTAACGGTTGTAGCAAGAGAAGGAGGGCTGGGAAAACGTAACGTTTTGCAGATTTGTCTTTCTAGTTTGTGAAAATGCCTCCCTTGCGTTTGTTACATCGTGAAGGAGGCTAGTGTAATAGGATCTGCACTAATCACCTCCATGGAGCTAGGTAATTAGTGCAGACCCTTCTCGGTCAGTGACCTCCGCTGAACTCACGATTGGCACATAGTCTGTTAGTAATAATTGCGCAAGATCACGCACGTTCTTTTTTTAACAACGTAACATTTACGAATGACGAAATTGTAAATATTTTCATTGATTATGCAAATAAGATACCATTTGCATAAATTACATCACTTGATCATATTCTTTACCCAATCACAGTCTTCTGTTAACAAAGAACGACACTGTAGCATTTCCTCAAATGAGGTCCTGATTATGAGGTATGAAATTCCCGGCAGTTACCATGGAGGGTTAATGACCCGACCCGAGGTGTATATGGTGAGATAATCCCTGGTCAGGTGCGATAAGCACCAAATAAACCACCATCATCGGCGGCCATATCGGTCGACGCTGATTGGTTCCGGTGTTTATGGGATTTAATGACCGCTGGGTGTGTTAGGGTGTCATAACCAATAGCAAATAGGGACTTCTGATTGGTCAACGCTATCTGGCTATATGATAATACGGGGTAAAATGACTTTCTCATCAATAATGCAAATTACCTTATCAATGTCTGCCGATTCTCCTCTCGCTCTAAATTACATATGTCACATGTTTTGGAACAAAGCCCCTCCCTCCCATACCCTACTAACTGTCGTATCTTTGATATTGATTTCAACTATATCTACCACTCTGGAAGAGTATTGGTATTGGTATAGGTATTGGTGCGCCAGCCACTTTCATTTTATGTTTATGTTATACTTTATGTCATCTTTATGTTTACTTTTGTATTATGTTTTATGAGCAGCGGATTCACATAAGCACAACAAGTGCTTCCTATCCAATGCTCAAAAATTCATGTGAATAAAATAAAATCTATAAAATTTCCGCGATTTAGCCTTTAGAAAGCCTCATTGATAATCTTCTGCCCCTCTGTACAAGTCAATTCCCATCTTTTAGGCCTCCGGCTTTGAAATGGACAGGCGCTTGCAATTGGTGGATGGGGTAACCGAAGTTATGCAATACCTAACCACACGTTTTAACATCCGTTTCTTTGCTTTTAACATTCAAAACTAATTGTCAGGAATATCAGTAAGTTAAAATTGTTACTCTTTTGTATCTTTGCACTTCGTTGCTTCGTCAAGCATGTCTTGGCAAGCTAGCATTGCAACAATTCAAGTCAGCAAGCTGACCAATTATTTGAGTCATTAATAGTGCAAAGCTATGCCACCCAACCAGCTATTACCATTTCGGCCCCCGGCCAGCTTTTTTTAAAAGCTTTCTTGTTTTGTTTTACCACAGACCCATGATGTGGACACACGGCTTCCTCTTTATCTTCTTCTGCAGTTTCCAACTTGTGTGTATCTGTGGCGCACAAACACCAGGTATGGTTAAAGATTTCAAGTCACATTTACAAACTGCTGCAGTTAAATTTGTCTGAAGATGTGATTTACTAGTACTGATGAGAATGACTGTTGGTAACGGGACGTGTGGCCCTGTTTATCTAGAACCGTGCTTTATCCAGAAACATGCTCAAGCACGGTTCTGGACAGTCCACGCGTATCCAGAACAGTTCTTGGGGAATCTGCGTTCTTGGATACGCGGAGACTATCCAGAACCGAGCCTGATGGCCAATCAGGCACAGAACTAGATATGCGTGGGGTTGTGTGGCGTAGCGGCAGAGTGTGCGACTCGGAACCTAGAGGTCCCGGGTTCGAGTCCTGACATGCCACCGATCTTGTGCCCTTGGGAAAGGCACTTTACACGACTTTCTTCACTTAGCTCAGGTGTAAATGAGTATTGTCCTGTCATGTATTTGTCCCCTGTGTTGGTGGCGGCATTAATATAAGTTGAAAAACTTATGTGTGCCGTCACCACGTCTGGTCATTACATGTTGGAATAAAAAAAAACTAGATATGCACGGTTCTGGATAAGATACTTCCGCGTACACCTCGGGACTTCCATTTCAGCACTAAGGACATCGCCCGGTGCCGGACGGACAGGCGGTATTGTATTCAGACATTTGCTTATCTAGCTCAATGGCTGAATGAAGGGTTAGGATCAGGCACGGTTCCGAATAGTCCACGTATCCAAGAACATAGGAACCCCAGTACCACTATAATCTGATTTATTTGTTTTCCTTGTTTTTCAATCATTTGTTTTAATCGTTAATTTTTATGTTAATTATCTAATCAGTTTATTTCTGCAACAGCGATCTGAATTATAAGACTTTTGTTTAATTTCTTTTCGTAGATGTAAAAACTAGTTTACACACTTCAGTTATTATTTCTGTGTCTTGATTTTGTTTAATTAATCAATTATTTCATTGTTTAATTTTGATGTTTAATTCAAATATGTTTTGTCATGTATCATAGTTACCTTTGTTTGGGGTATGCCCTTTAAAAACACCTAGGTTTCTGGCCTACCCCGCATATTCTCTTATTGTTATTGTTTGATTATGTAACTTTTTTTATACGTGCAAATAATAAACAAATAATAAACTGTTCTGGATACGCGTGGACTGTCCAAAGCCGTGCTTGAGCATAGTTCTGGATAAAGCACTGTTCTGGATACAAAAGACGCCCTTCCTGTGCCTGGCCTGTACTTATGACAGTCATTGCGTATTGTTTTCTCAGTTGTGGTAGCTGTAGAAAAGTTATAGACATGTCTGAAACACACCTGCATGTCATTGTAACCGCATTCACCTCGTTTGACACAAGTGCTCTGATTTTCATTCGAAAAATTAAAGCGTTTGTTATCACAACTGGGATATATGAAAGAAAGTTTATTGCAAATACATGCCCGAGGGTTAATTGCAGTTACAAACAACATAGAAAGAAAATACAGTGGTATGTGAGACTATATCTACGTCTAACATTATATACTATATTCTACAACATACATGGACCATGGTACTAGTTTTACTGGGTTTGACTTCTTCTTTTTAGGCAATGGAAGACGAATTTACCCACTTCTTCTATAATATGTGTGTTCGTTGATTTTAATAGTAAAATTGTTTTTTTTTCGTGGTAGGGAATGGTGGGGAAGTAAGGCAGCATTTTGGACACGGTGGTAAATAATTTTCTGATGTCGTCATAAAATGGACAGTTAGAGATAAAGTGAATTTCGTCTTCCATTGCGTTTGAGGAGCAATATTTACAAATTCTCTCCGACACAGGTAGTTTCATAGTTATAACGTTAATTCATTAAGTAACACATGCATGGATAGCCTTTCAAGTGACTCTTTTTTTTCAGCCACAAACACCACTTCCAACAGTACATCCATGGTAGCGAACTCCACGGGCTCTCCGAAAACAAACGCCAAGATCAGTAACTACTGTCCTTCCACCTTCAACCTGACCGGATCTAACGGCACGTTCGCCAGCCCCCTGTACCCGTCACCGTACCCTCTCCGGCATGTCTGCCGGTGGGAGATAACTGTCGCCCCGGGCAGGATCGTGCAGCTTACGTTCACCGCCATGGATGTGGAGGCCGGGAAGGGAGTGTGTTACGACAGTGTGGAAGTTTACGGAGGCACGCCGGAGCAGGGCTATCTTATCGGTCAGTTCACGTCAGACATGGTAAGGCCACACCGCCTTAATGTCATGGATGACATGGTCTGAAGACCCCCAAACTAGTGCGCGCGGGCGAATAAAAAAAAATTCCGGCAAAAAATAAAAATGCTACTAAACCACAGGAATACAAAGCTGGTATTGTGAATTTGCGGCAGTACATAGCGACGTATACGACAAGCCGGCACATGTTGGCTTTTTGTGGAATTTATGCATCGGCACTGTACGCATGTACCGAGCTTTTGAGTCCTGGAACTTCGGTAGCCTGCGTGGCATCCTCCAGAGTTACAACCGCCGTCGTATTGTTGCTAAAGTACCATGGACTACCCAGGCCAGAGCCTCGGAGGATGTGATCTTTTCTTTTTTGAGAACAGGCGAAAATCAAGGCGCGCGCGGATGTCATCCATAAAATTAAGGAGGTGTGGCCTAACGTTTAACTAACATGGGTGGGGTCGCGTGGCGTAACGAGAGAACGTTTGGCTCAGAACCAAGAGGTCCCGAGTTCGAATCCCGGGTCCATGCCAACGATCTTGTGCGCTTGGGAAAGGCACTTTTCACGAATTTTCTCAAGTGAAAATGAGTTCCATGCGTTTGTCTGCTGTGGTGGCGACATAAAAATAAGTTGAAAAAACTTGAGTGTGCCGTCGCCATGGCTTGTGATAAATGTTGGAATAGACAAAAAAACTATAGCATGACTTAGTATGAAACATGTATAGTATGCACTGCCCTGGGTTAGGACTTACTGTATTTTAATTCTGGCATCAGAAGTGATGGAACACTAGTAGTAGTGCATGCTGGTTGAAAACACAGAAGGAAGAAATTATTCTCTATACCATGGTGTAGATACCATAGATGATTTAGTCTTTATTGACACAAGAGTAACTGTTGAACTGTTTTTGTTCCGGAAGAAGTAAAATTATTGCTCTTATAATCAAACATCTAACCTAACCATCATTGTTATTGTCCTTCCAGGGAAGTACTGCGGCACCACCATCCCTGAACCTGTGACTACAACCACCAACATCATGACTGTCATTTTCCAGTCAGATGACATATATGCAGAACCTGGCTTCCAGGCTACGTTTCTTTCACAGGAGAAACGTAAGAAAAGCAACAAATTTTGTTACAAAAATGTATTAGAAAAAATACCGAAAGTCGTGATTAGCTCCAAAGTGTTGTGCTAGCCCTTGTTGTTTGATATGTTAGGTTTTATTCTACATATTAGCCTTATTCAACACATATTTTACTTGTTATTTTTTTTTTTGGTACTTTGCCATACATTGTACAATGTGCAATTGCCGTGCAATGAAGTTCTTCTGTTATCTCTCTTTTATTGTGTTAATATTAGATCATTTCTGAAATTAACATTTAGCGGATCATGGTGATTGGATTACACCAGTAAATGCGGATCATTCAAATAGATACCATTCACACTGTACCTGACTGATACATAATGGGAAAACATATATGGGCTCCCTGGTGGATGGCCTTGGTACTGCACCACAACTTCTGGTTTTATGTAAAAATTATTTGTTTCCTTATTGGTGAATGATGGCAATTTTATTCCTTGTGACATGTGTAACTTACTTAAAAGTTAACATCACATATATTATGTTAATGTAGATGTCATTTGCATAATCAATGAGGATGGGCAACTCATATATTTCATGGAGGTATGAGATCTCAGAACTCTTGTTTTCTCTGTTTTCAGAGAAGAGTGACTGTGGTCCGGGGTATTTCCGCTGTAATGATGACGTGACGTGTGTGGACTCCTGGAGACGATGTGACGGCAGGAAAGACTGTTTCGACAACAGCGATGAAATCGGATGTGGTAAGTTAGACCAGGAGATGATGGCAGAAGATAACATGTCAATATTGATAGTGCTTATTTCTCTAAGGCCACACCAATTTAATTTCTTGGTTAAAGGATTCGCCCGCTTCATTTTTTTCTGATTTGCAAATAAAAATAAAAATTCAGAATCAACTGCAAAATGCTCATATTTTGCCCTGAACAGTTGAAAAAAGTCCTTTTATTCCTAGTTGTTACAGTTGTTCCATCTTTCAATGCAGTGGTATCATTAAAAGTTCAAAATTCATTGTTTAAATTTTGAACCAGCCTGGTGTGTTGACTTCATGGCTCCTATCGTACCATGTTGGGCCATAATAGGATGCCTAGGCCTTTTTTTTATTTTTAGTATTTTTTTTGCCTGCCCGCTTCATTATTTTTCTAGAAAAATCCGTTAACTTAGTCCGTTAGAAATTAAATTGGTGTGGCCTATTAAAGGATGTAATTATATCAACAGTAATGCTCAGGGCACATATATGTGCAACAAGTTCTGTTGAATTAGTGTCAAGCAGAGTACTGCATTTGTAAATGCCACCAAAATGCAAGACAGTGTGGAAAGTTATCAAAAGAACAGTCTTGGTGTGGACCCATCCATATTTTATTTTGTTGTGAAATTGGCTGGGTACCATGTCCTTGTCCTTGGTACTGATTGTACCATTATATGATAGTGCTTCCAGGTCAAGGGTAGTCTTCGTACATTTTTTACACATAGCAGATAAAATTTGTTAATATTTTAAATAGCTGTTTCCATTGCCCTCTGAACTGTGCAATGATAGTGTCTATTTACATGATAATACAGAAACTGATATTTGGATGGGATTTTTGTTATGTTGCACAAAGTCTGGTTCCTACAATTTCATTTTTTTAAATAAAAGATGGCCTGACCAGAATGACTATCTTTACTAAGCGTCTTGGTAATGATGGGATGTAATTACAATATATGTCCCATCATACAAATTGTAGAGTTTCATACAATGTCATGTATTTTGTTGACTGCTAAGGTTATGTAGTGTGATGATATGGATGGCATATTGACATGTTACTGTTACTGGTAACTTATGGTCCTTTGTTTTCTAGAATGTCAGAGTCTCCCATCAGACTTTCTCTTCTGTAAGGGGTTTGGTTACAACCAGATCACCTTACCCAATCCCTACATGCATCGGAACCTGAGTCAGGTGATCACGTCGCAGCAGGCTCGCGCCATGCTGGCCCTGGAGACAGCCAGCGACCCGCCCTGTCACCCGGACTTCAACCTGTTCGCTTGTGCTGTCATCATGCCGAAATGTAGTTCAAAGAAGTAAGCTGGAACAAGTTCAACCATCTTAAAACCAAGACATCACCTTCTCCTTCTTACACTCACAGTGCCATTGTCAAGTTCTGCCATAATTGTTATTATTACAATTACTGATTATTATCTTCCTTCTATAGTGCCTGGTCCATTCACACACACAAATGCACAGACACAAAATGGAAATAACAAGCATGCACACACACACACAGTGACACACACACACACACACACACACACACACACATAGCTACAGACATGCATACACAGACGTGCATATACAGACGTGCATACACACACACACACACACATACATACATATAGCTACAGACGTGTGTGCATACACACACACACACATGTAGCTACAGACATGTGTGTGTGCATACACACACACACATACACACACACACACACACACACACACACACATATAAGCTACAGACATGTGTGCGCACACACACACACACACACACGGGGTGGAGAAGGAATTTGGAGCCGCTGCCCCTGCACACACACACACACCTATGTGTGCACGGTGACAGACACGCAAGCATCCAAACACAGAAACACACAAATATACATGATGTATCTTATATCTATACATAATATCGGTCCTGCCCAGCCCGCGGCAGCTGCTGCCATGTCGTACCCTGTGTGAGGAGGTGACTGCCTCCTGTCGACCTGAGGCGGTACTGCACACCAACGGGTCCTGGCCCTTCCCAGACTGCTCACACTTCCCCTACCCCAGCGCTAACATGTCCTGTTGGAATGCTCCAATACCTGACAATGGGAGTGAGTACTGCATCTTCAATAAAAACTTAATAAGTCAAGTTGTTATTACATCAAACCTGCCCAAAGCAACCACCCAGAAAGTACAGTTTATACTGTAGTTACCTTGGACATACAGGTGGTCTCCCTGAAGAGATTTGACTAATAACGTGACTGATATGCCTTCAAGTTAATAAGTACATGTACCATGTATAACCACAAACAAATCAAATTAGTGTGGCCTTAAGAAAGATACTAATTTGGTATGTAAAAGTTCATCTAAACCTTATACGTCTGAATGATTCATTCACAGGGTGTTATTATGGAAATGGTATGAACTACCGGGGACTCGTGGCCAAAACAAATAACGGAGAATTGTGCAAAGCCTGGTCTGCTGATGAAGGGGACTTCTACATGTCTCAGTTCCCCTGGTCTAACCTGCAGGAGAACTACTGTAGGAACCCTGACGCTGACACCAGACCCTGGTGTCTGTCTCCCATGGGCTTCCAAGTCTTGTGTGAGCTGCCCAGATGTGGAGGTACATGTAAGATACGGGTGGGGTTTAGATGGAAGGGACAATTTCTCATTCAAGTCAATTTGATATCTTATCCTCAGAACTATCAGTTTCAAATCATCACTAGTTTGTTTGTTTGTTTGTTTACTACTATTACATGAAATCATGCAACTAAGTAATTATGAACAAAGGCTTGACAATGTGTGTGCATGTATGTGACTTTGTGTGACATGCATACGTGTGTGAGTGTATGTGTTGTATGTACTGTGTGTATACACAAGTATGTGTGTATATGCTTCAGGCACAGTGTGTGGTGTGTATGCATGGGTTAGTGAGTGTATGTACGAGTGTATACAGGTATGTGTGACTGGTGCGTACAGGTATGTGTGTGTGTGTGTACATGTAAGTGTTTTTTGTACAAGTGTGTAAGTGTACATTGTACGGGATTTGAACTCAAGACTCTTGGTCCAGGGGTGGAGGATCACTAACCACTGGGTGACGCATGCCGCTGCAGTTCCTGTATGTTCTACCAGAAGGAGCATTGTTTTATCTTTGACATTTCAGAAAAAACCTGCTCCGACCCTGGGCCACCACGGTTTGGCACCAGGAGTCCAAAGAAGGTGACTTACCTGAGCGGGGACAAGATAACCTTCAGCTGTGGGGCGGGGTACATCCTGACTGACGGGTCACTCAGGTCCACCTGTCGGGCCAATGGAACATGGACCAGTGACCCGCCCACCTGTGATGGTCAGTACATGTATGTCTGTCCTGTGGGAAAACAAAGATCAATTCGATAAAAAATGATGTTTCTATGACCAAGAACATTATTATTTATTTCATGCACATGGGCCATATGAGAAAAAAAATGCATAATATTATTATTTGATAATAAAAACACAAACTATTAATAGTGGATAGACTTTTTATGCTGACAAACTACTATTTGTAAAAAAAAAATATTCAATTTATCCAGTTAGAAAAGATTCAACGGCTTTATCACTTTATCTTTATCCTGGATGATTAACCTACACCAACGTATTTGTAAACCAGTTTGATGTACAAAATTGGTGCCAGAAATTAATATTGTGTGCAAAAACATAAGAGTGGATTATCTCCTTTTTTTTTACAAATGAATTATACATTACGCACTTGTTCGAGTTGAGAATGAAAACAAATGACTGAGTTTAATATACACAATGTAAAGCTTAAACTTCTTCTGTCTAAAAAGTATTCATTACGAGGAAAATACTTTCCAATCTATCACTATAACAAGAATTCTGAGACTCCATACCTCCTTGAAATACATGAGTTTTTGTAAATGTTTTATTTGTCTCATTGACTATGGAAATAAGGTCGTATTTAGTATAATCTAGTTCAATTTATGGTTTTCTAAAAGTCACCAAAAAGTCAAGACCGTAGCATGTTCAGGACAAAAGATTAAAAAACCGGAAGTTCTACAGTAACTGCAGTACCAAGGTCGGCCACCAGGAGGCCCATATTTGATCTTGACCTTTGTCTCCATAAGACCTACCAATGTACAAAATATCATCACAATCCATAAAGGCGTTCTGAAGTTAAGCTGGCTACAAATGTGCGGAAACACAAACACACAGACACACACACAGACACACACACAGACACGCCAAAAACAATACCTCCATTTTTCATGGAGGTAATAATTGTTATAATTTTAAGGCATTAAAAGCTGTGTTTGTCTGTACTAGTGGACCATGAGAGCCAGCTGCTGACAGACTTGTTTGTGCGGAACCAGTACAAAGTGGAGACCCAGCCGTCTGTGGACATCACTGTCTCATCATTCCAAGGGCGCATCAACAATATCGTGGACACGGTAACTCTACTAAGTTAACATTATTAGGCAGCATTGGCTTGATTTTATTGATGGCATCCTTGAATACTCCCAAACTAGTTCAAACCTTACAGTCTGTTCTCAGGTTTGACATCTTGAAAAGGTGATAGTCACCTGTTATGTCAATCCTTCTACAAATGTGGTAAATCTTCATAATTGAATTAAAAAATTAACATATTTCAATGTTCTGGATACTTTGGATTTTTTAAAAGACAGTAACTTTAACCACTTTTAACGTTTATTCCTTCATAGAACGAGAAAGATGAGAGAGTCATGGTGTCGCTTTCTCTAAATGTGGTAAGTAAATATTTGATTTCAATTAAGGTCATTCTGGCCCATAGGAAGAGTTCAATATCTCTTTTGGGGCATATTTGCATAACTGATACCTACAGGTAGAAATGAAGGATAGGAAGAGATGGAGGGAAGCTCGACCCAGTGAGTGAGTGAGTGATACCTACAGGTAGTAATGATCTTGCCTTTAATTACCTTCACCAAGAAGGTCATGTTTTTTGTAGCTTGCGTGTGTATGACTGATTGTACATGTATTGTATAGTTGTATGTATGTGGCTTAGCACAATAACTCAAGAACCTATGGATGGATTGTCATGAAACTTGGTACAAAATGTAGGTGGGTTAAGGTCTTGATGAGACCTAGAAATTAGATTTTTGGCCTGCTGGCAGCTTTTCTTGCTACTGCAGGTGAAGTTCCAGTTTTGATATCCCAATTGATCTGGACATGGACGGTAGCTCTTGTGCTCAGGAAGAAGTGGCGTTAGTGTAGTCCCCCTGGCAGCTTGTCCAGGAACTGCAGGAGCATTTGTTGAAAAATCTTTGAGGGAGGAATACTCAAGAGCTGATTGATGGGTTGCCATGATTTTTGGTATGTTATAAGGTAGAAGAAGTGATGCTTGACATGACTATATAACTCACAATTAGTCAAATTGGTTAGTGTTAAGTACATGTTAAAGCAGTGTCTATTTGTGATATTATAATATTAATAATATTTGTTGACAACAGGACTGGTGGGACCTCCGCTTGGCCTGGTCAGAAGAGGAATATGGCAAGATGAGGAGTTTGTTTCTGCCGGACGATCAAGTGTGGAAACCAACTCTACTGCTGAGGAAGAAGTGTGTATTTATATATTAGATAATGTGCATTCTGAACTGTGACTAAAAAAAAATAAAAAAATATTAATGGAAGAGGCGGTCAATATAAAATAATCTTGACTTGTGACAGAAATATTACGGCAGAAAGATATTACCAGAAAGATTAAATATGTGCTGTAACTTGTTAACCATACATTAGATTAAAATTTCTATTCAAATGATCAGATGCCACTTGAACAGAAAATTAGCCCTAAGACTGAGTCCTACAAGTGCAAGTGCAAGCAACAAAGCATGCAAGGACATTTTCTAATATTATTTTATATCATGATATCAGTGGCCAACATGACCAAATGGCATCTACATTCTGGTGAAACATGAAATCCTTAGATCTCTCACAATTATTTTAACTGCAACAGTTGATAATCATCATATTTTCCAGTGCTGACACCAACTACAAAAGTCTCCCAGCATCAAAGGTGATAGTGACCAGTGACGGCCATGTCAACTGGACAGTGGAGGCTCTGACCACTACAACCTGTACGCTGGACCCGTACCTCTTCCCTGTCGACACCATGACGTGTCCCATCTGTTTTGAATCCAGTATAACAGCAGGAGAGCAGCTAAGATGTCCCGATACGAAAAGGCCGGGTTACATCGATTGTAACACCCGCACTCAGATCGTATCTGGCCAGTGGAGAGTCGTCGCATACCTGAAAACAGAAGCTGGGAAAGGCTGCCTGATGCTGGACCTGACCAGGGATCCCATCTACCACATCGCCACCACCATCTCACCATGTATCATCCTGGCTGTGCTGATGTGCATCACCTTCGCCACCCCCATCGAGCAGAGCGATCGGATCGGCTTTGGTATAACCATCCTGCTGGCCATGGTGGTGTCCCTGGTGGTCATCACAGACTTCCTCCCTGTCAAGGACAAAATGCCATTCATAGGTAATTCAATCGATTGCCTGCACCTTCTCGATCACATACAAAAGAGAATTTGCGTGGCCATAGGCTATCCTCTGGCCTCCAAGTTAGACCCCCTTTCCCATAGACGAAATGTTGCCTCTCAATCCCTCTTTTACAGATATTTTCATGGTCACTGCTCTGCAGAACTCACCCAACTAGTTCCACAACTCAGAACTTTTAAGCGTTCCACTAGGTTTTCCACTAGCTCACACAACTTCACCCTCCAAATTCCTTGTTCGAAATCTTTTTACAGTGACAGTTTCTTTCCCCGTATGGCCAAGTTTTTTAATTCCCTCCCTGACAAGTGTTTCCCACCATCTTACAATCTACAGGCTTTCAAATCAAACGTTAACCACCATCTCTTGACATAGCCCTGATGTTTTTCTCTCATTTTTCTAGTTCAATGCCGAGAAGTGGCGGAAAGGCCTTGCATTGAACCACTCCGTTAAAAAAAAATTACTTCCTTCTTTAACATTAGACTGTGTATGTAGCTTCTAAAGTCCAGAGATGACGAGAATGGGCAGTATGTTTCTCTTCAAGGCTGCTCTTCCCCGCCTGACACAGCTAAGGTTCCCCGGTAGGCTTTGCATGACACTTCTGAAGTTCATTACCCCCACCGCGATTGTGGTAGGACTAATCAACTCCTGGTGTAACACTCCTACCGGGTAGTCTTGTTTTTTTTTTTTTATTTTTTTTTTTTTTATTTTTTTATTCACATTTATTTTTCGAGGATTGGGCAAAAAGTTATAAAACTTATCTTGGCCCTCTCCTCACACATAAAAGGAAACAATAAAATAAAGTAATAATAATAATGGTAAGAAAGAACAAAGGTACATAATGAGCTGGTGTACAAATCAAAATCAATCAACTAAATCAAACAAAACGTCCTGTCTGCAAAATAAAGTTGAAAACCACATCAAATATTTTACAATTGTTGACAAACGACAATGAGGGGTTACCCCTGAGAATGGTTGAACATAAAGTGTTGTCAGTGACGTTGTTTGTGTCAAAATGGCAGGATGTTATTTAGAGATGATAACATGTCAATACGTTCGTCAGTGTACAGTGGGCAGTGTAGGAAGTAGTGTACAGCTGTTTCGTTGGAGTGACCACATTTGCACGCTGGACTGAGCACACATTGATGTTGGAACAGGTGAAAGTTTAACTGACTGCGGTTGAGTCTGAGTCTGGTAAGGTGGATAGCTGGGTTTCTCGGACCATGAGAGAAGTGAGGTTGAGTGTGAGGGCTGTGATAAAATGTCTCCAACTCTTTTTTAAAGATGGCAATTGATGTCTGTAGTCTGTTGAACTGATGGGGGAAAACTTTTAGAGCCCTGAAGCAGCCTGCACCAACAATGATACATTTGTAGATTGGCTAGGCCACACCAATTTAATTTGGGGGGGGGGGTCTAAATTAACTGCAAAATGCTCAATGAAAGACATATTTGGCCCCAACGGTTGAAAAAAGTCCTTTTCTTCCTAGTTTTTCAATGTAACAATCCAATTTTGTTTCATTAAAAGTTCAAAATCTATTGTTTTGATTATAAACCAGCCTGGTATGTTAACTTTATGGCTCATATTGTAACATTTCTGCCTATCATGGGGTGCCTTGGCCTATCTTGTTTTTATTTCGCCCTGTCGCTCCTGATTTTTTCTGAAAAAATCTGAGAAAAAAAAATTAAATTGGTGTTGCCCTACCAGGCTATAACTTTGGCCCTCTTCATGGCCTCAGCTGAGCAAAGTCGATATTAAGTGTGATTTAAAAGTTCTTCCAGCACAAGCACATTTTTTCTCACCTGCCAACACTCTAACAGCTTTCAGTAGCCTTCCTGAGGTGACAGCCAGAACAAAGTTTGGGACTTTACATTAAAGATGGTGTTGAATGGTCAAATATATCCTTTTCTGTTTGTTTTGTCTGTAGCCGTGGTGATCATCGTGTGCATGGGGCTGATCGGTCTCTTCATGCTGTTTACCTGTGTCATCATCAACATCAGCAACAGGAAAGGAGACCTGCCACCCTGGGCACGCAGGTCGGTACATGTTTGTTTTGCATAACCAGTAAACCGCCTTTAGGCCTAACACACCAGTTTTGTACTGTACGTACATGTACAAGCTGTGTAAGACCGGACTGTAAGGTTTGAACCACTCATACACTCTTTTCGATAAGTGCGGTGGGTTAACGTGCGTGGGTTGTGGCTCTCCCAAACACGGGACCTCCATTTGACGTCCTATCCGAAGGACGACCCTAACCAAAACTAGGCACTCATTTCCACCTGATTGAAGTGAGAAAAGTTGTGTAAAGTGCCTTTCCCAAGGGCACAAGATCGGTGACATGGGCAGGATTCAAACCCGCGACCCCTTGGGTGTGAGCCCAACACGCTACCGACTGCACCACACGACCCCATGTCTGACAGAATCTGGTACACAAACACGTGGGGTTAATGTTCAGTCACATTAAAACTGTACTAAAAACACTATCCAAGTTCTTGGTTAACGGATTCGCCCGCTTCATTCTTTTCTGATTTGAAAAAAAAATACAATTCAGAATCAACTTATTTATTTTTTGCCCGCCCGCTCCATTATTTTTCTAGAAAAATCTGTTAACCAAGAAATTAAATTGGTGTGGCCTTACCCTCCTACTCCAGGGTCTTCCTGCAGTACCTGGCCACCTTCCTCCTGTTTGGAGACCTGAGTGCCAAACCCCCGGCTCCTGAAAACAAGGAGAACGGAAGTCCTGGTGGGAATGTCAGCCTCAACCACGTCACTAGTACTGGCAGCCTGGCTGTGGAACAGCAAACACAGGTTAGTGTTGGAAATACCCATGCCCGTAGCCAGGATTTTGAATGGGGGCCCGCAAGCCCCTTTCCGTAGAGCGTAATCGGCCGTTTTAATTCTACGTAGAGCGTACTAGACGGACCGCTCTAATATTTTAGCGTAGAGCGTATTCGGTGTTTTAATTCTATGTAATGCGTTGTAGCCACTTGGAATTTATCATAAAGCGTAATTGAGAGGTTTCCGAATTCAGCGTAGAGCGTTGTCGGGACCCCAATCCACCCCACCCCCCTGCAGGCCCTCTTGAATGGGGGGTTTCTTCCCACTGCTGGAGTGACCAGCGAGCGCCTAAGGCAAGGTTCCTAGGTGGGCATGCTCCCCCGGGAAATTTTGAGAAATGAACCTTCTGAAATCACATTTCCTGTGTTTTTAGAGGATTTCAAAGGAAAAAAATCAGAGATAACTTTTTTCAATGACAAAGTGAGCTGTTTTCCTACAATTCCAGCCTCGCTGGTGACACGAATTAGTCCATCTTTTAAAGAAAAATCTTGGACCTTTAGATAAAAAGTGGACCAAAAAGTGGACCTTTGAGGCTTGTGGGGGGGTTGTCAAAACCCCCCCTGGCTACAGGCATGATAACCCACCTGCAGTCTGCATTTTGCAGAGACATTTTTAATATTGCAGAAGAAAAATTAACCAACCTGCACTTTTGCAGACGGCAAAAAATCTGGGTAAGACTAAGAATTCAGTGGTACCGGTATAAATTACCGTATAATATTTCGGCACTTTTTCAAAATCGTTAGAGTCAGTATTCTATAATATAGTAAATGTAATTTTGCATGCATTTTTCAAATTGCATGTAAATGTTAACATGCACTTTTGTACATAATTATGCTATATAATGACATGTTTTGGAATGCAACACCCCTCGTATGCCATGGCTTTAGGTAAGACTTGTGTGTATTTGCAGAAAGTATAAATTTTCTGAATTGTAGAACTCAGCAATATTGCAGAACACTGAAAAAATGTATTTCTACCATTGCAGCTGCAGGTCAACACCGAGGCTGGAGCTGACCGCCATGCCCAGACCATGCGGGTCAAGCCGTCCTTCTCCCCCTCCGGAGCTCAGTTTGTCCTGCAGACCACCCTGGAGGAGTTGAGCAGGAGTGTGCAGGCCGAGACTCACATGCTCAGCACCGTCCTCACCAAACTGGTGCAGGAGGACAACTCAGAGGAAGGAGACTATCACAAACTGGGCAGGATTCTGGACAGACTCTGCATCATTCTGTACTTCATATGTATCGGCATCACCATTCCACTCGCAATGTTCTTGGGAAGAGGGTAGTCAGATCAGTTCTGGGCAGCAAAAACTTCCTGTTTATAACAAAATCATATTTCGTTGAAGAGGTCCATCAGTCACGTAGAATTAACAGTAAGTAGAAATTCTTCGATCAGTGACTGTATTTTGTAAGGTAAATTACGTACCTCCAAATTTTCGTTCTCGACTGCACACCTTGATCATGGAGTGACCTAGTCTTGTGTTCTCTCGTTAGAAGAATTTGTACTGACTGTCAAAATCATATTTGACTTTCGTTCCGTTCTCCAACTTATTTTGTCTGTAATCTGAGACATAGAAGAACATTATTGCACGACAATTGTGCATGGTACAATGTATGGCAACAAGTATTTAACATAATAGTACAAAATAGAGGTATAGAATAAAACTTAACATCCTAATTAGTTCACACTGATTTAATTTTTTGGATGATATCCACGTGCAGATGGATTTATTTTCCCTGTTCGTAAAACAAAAATCACACTTACGGCTCTGGCCTGTGTGCCATCCTCTGTAGTCCATGGTAGCTAGCGACAATAGGGAGCTGGCAGTAACTGAGGAGGATGGCACCCAGGCTACTGAAGCTCCACGGAACTCCAGAACTCAGTACAGTGCCGACTCAAAAATGTCGCAAAATGCCATGTGTCAGATTGTCGTGAAAGTTGCTATGTACTACCGCAAGTTCACAATACCAGCTTTGTATTCCTGTGGTTTAGCAGCATTTTGGGGGGGCTGAATTTTTTAAAATTCACCTGCCCACACTAGTTTGGGAGTCTTCAGAAGATGTCATCCATAAAACTAAGTCAGTGTGGCCTACTAATACTAAAATAATAAGGGCTAGCATAAGTCTTTGATATACACAATGTTTTTTCTAACAAGCAGTCTTTTTGCATTGTGGGATCCGGAGCTACTGCAACTAAAGATATATTCAAATCTGTCTGTAGCATCAAGTCTGTTGAAGTCTATTGTTATTGATTTGAGAAATTTAGCTCACTACAATGTACATAAAACATATCTAGAGCATTCCATGACAAACTGAAATTCATCTACTTTGGACAAAATGTGCAAAACCTTTAGTCAGCGGTTACCTTGCAATATCTGCCTGTTTCTATATTCATACTTAATTTGCTTTATGAAGTTCAATAAGTTACTTATATCATAAAAGTACTAGTATATTTCTTGTTCATAACCATTTACACATGAACATTAGGGCCTGGTTAGATGGGTGTATGATATTTATGCCGCTTGGGTCTTACTTTAAATCTCAAAATGTTCACGGTGAATTTTGCAGTGACTTCTTATCAGAGACAAGATACAGTAACTGTAATGTATACTACAGGATTGCTCCAACTGCAAACTTACAACACAACAAAGACATCTTTTCCCTCATGTGTTTGTTTACCATGTAAATTCTGTTATAATTTATATGTACTTTGTGTAATCTGAACCCTGTAACTGTAAGATAAGCCATCATGCTAAAGGGTAATACAGCTGGGTTCTAGCTAGGATTTAATTTTAGCGTAGTGGCACTGGCTGCATGCATGTCAAGAGAGCGAAGCGACCGAGAGGGGGGATGGGGTGGAAGGGGGGATGTGCCCCTTTTCTGCAGTGCAGAGCTTTTTCAAAATTTGAGCTAAAAAGAGGGCATTTGAGGGATACCCATTTTAGGGAAAAAGTGTTATTTCTAAAGAATGTACAATGTATCCTTGATTGGTAAATTTTCACATTTGATCTGGCATTTTTGAAGAAAGAAATACTGTCACAATGCCCCTACAATGAAAATTGGCGTAGGGGGAAATTTAGCATAGGGGGTTAAAATTATACTTACAGCGTAGGGGGCCCCTACTTCGCGCTAGCTAGAACCCTGTACAGTGTATCTTAATTAAGAGAAAAACACAATATTCTCACTGGAATTTACAGTAATTTACCATAAGCCATCCTGCTGAGGCCTTGATTTGTATTCAGCATTGTTCATAATGGTGATGGGAAGGTACAGCTGTATTATGTCTTCTCATTAGTCAATTTAAATTTCTGGTGTTTCATTTTCACTTGGAATGTTATCAACAGTATGTATGTAGCACACTAGACTTAGATTAGAAGTATTGCCTTAATAATTTTTATAGAGGTAGGGATAAATTGTTAATCTATTTTGTAAAAGGGAACAGAACCTTAGAGGTTTTATGTTTAGTTTACATTTAATCATAATTATATCAATCTGTCAGTATTAGGCCGTGTTTATGTGAAGTCACCCAAACTGTGATTCGGGTAACTCGCATTCCTCACATCTGGTCCACGTGCCACAAACCGTGCCTGATCCCGATTCTCCGAAACTGCATTTATTGTTGTTGGATGAAAACACGCAAGGTGGCGTGTTATTAATGTCAGAGGTCAACGACCTGCTTGCTGGTGCCCCTCCCAGCGTATCTCGGCCGAATGTCGACGTAGTCCCCCCAGAGGCGGTGAAGCTCGTCCTAGAACGGACACATTATTTGACCAATTTACTACTCTTGAAGTTGCTGACACGTAAAATTTGGTATTGCATATAAATGAAGAAATATCACCCCGTAATCCATGACCAGGCGAAGTTACATTGAAATCACATTGCGTTCAGACGCAAATCGCGATGTGTGAAAACTGATTAAAAACCACCTCTAGAAGTGGCTTGGGATCAAGGCGCTTTCAATGTGATTTCGGAGCATTCAGATGGAGACACTTGAAACCGGATTCGGGGTAAACCACATGTAAAGCGCCTTGGGTGACTTCACTTACACACGGCCTTAGTTACGATGCCTTCATATTTGCAGATGTATTCTGACTCTGATGTAAATGTTGAACAGCTGGGCAGAATTATAAGTACTGTAGATGTCAGGACTGTACTTTTATCAATAATTTCATAATTTTACAGACAATATTAATTGACATTATGGACTCAGCAGCTGATAAAATTGTACTGATTCCTGGCTCTGATTTGACTTTCAACACATTCAGTCACTAAAAAACACTCTAGTAAATTTAATAAATTTTGTCATGTATAGTAAAAACAACAACTGTTACAGTGAATTATTTCAACATTGAAATTAACTGTACTTCGTCAGTCCAACATACTGTACGTTTTCTAACCTTCTAGGTGCATTTATATTTATTTTACATCTTGCTGTTTTAAGTTGTAAGTTGTTGTTTAGAGCCTGTATCAAAACGCTTGAAGGTTGCATATGGCCTGGATGCTGACCACGTGAAAGTGGAATATTATGACGTAAAAACTGGTTGTAAGCATTTAGACCAGCTTTTTCAGCGAAAAAAACCCTTACCTTTTGAAAATTGGTATTTGTGTTCACACTTAGCTAAATAAAAAAACGTTTTTTGAAAAACCGGTTGAAACTGCTAAATAAAAGTCTGGTATGAATGGGGTCAAAGAGTCATAACGTACCTATAGGTAGGTAGCTACCTACGCTGTTTTTTATTGGTACAGTACTAATGACTGTCATGTTCTCTAGAAATTCTAATTACCGTAATAACCTTAACACCAAGTCTGAATTTTGTTTGCAAAGTTGCAGGTTGTTAAATTTTTTTCCTGCAAATTTCAGGTGGGTTTTCTCTCCCCTTTTCCTAATCATGCACATTCTACAGTAACTATGATTATAATAATGACTCCTGTGTCATCATTTACTTCAAACACATGGGAGGGGACTGCAGGGTTTATGTAATAGTACTGTACACAATGAAAATTTTTACATCACAGATTCAACAACAAACACACCAGCGTGCAAAATAACCGGTTGCCCAGTTGCCCCGGGCAACCAAATTTTACTTGAGGCAACCTATTTTTTAACCTAGGTAGCCCAGTGTGCTACCTGAATTTTAAGAATGCCCCCCCCCCCCAAATCATGCCCACTTGGCTTGCACCACTGTATCCGGCTTTTTAATTTTAGGTATTAATGGCTATTACTAGTATCAGTTAACTAAAGGCTGTTAGAAATGTTGTGAAAGGCTTATGTATGTAACATTACTAAGTACTTAATTTGAGAAAAGTAGTAACTTATAGGTGGGGCAACCTAAAATTCTGATGGGCAACCTAATTTTTGCTGTAGGTTGCCCACTGGACAACCTGGTTCAAAAAAGTATTTTGTACACTGCACACTGACCATTACTAACACATTTGACTTTAAAACGACAAAGAGACATACATTTCTGTGATTGTTTTATTGATTTTCTCAAGAACCTTCTGTTCCATAGAATATTTTCTGTACATTTGACAGATATTCAACTTCCTTAGAATCCCTACACTTTGTTTCTTCACTCTAGTAGTGTGACGTGTATATTGTTGTAAATTGGTTGACTCATGGACCATCTGTTAGTGACCAACACGGCAAATCTGAACACAGCAGATAGAATGTAACTGTTGGTATATCATTATGTTTGTCTTGATGTAAGTTGTCAGTCATCTTCGTCCAGTGGAGGGATTCCCAGTTCCTCGTCTGTCCATTCCTCTGTTTTGGGCCAGGGGAAGTGACCCTACAGGACAGGGTAAAAAATTACTACATTTAGGGAGCTACTAGTACTAGGAAATTACTATCATGAAGGTCTTACAAAGCTTGTACATGTACTTACATGTACAAAACTGGTGTTTTTTGCCTGAAGGTAGTTTACTGGTTATGTGAAACAAACAAAGGAAGCCATCTCTCCTGTCTGTAGTTTTATCAGGTTGGTAAAAGTTTGGATGCGCACAAAAGGGCTCCAAATACTAGTACTGAGAGCACATGCACCTTATTCAGGACTGGTATTGAATTCATTTTGGGGATTAGGTGCACTGGTACAACCAACATAAAAGATTTGTTGTGATGTGAGAAAAATTGACCTTTAGTATTAATTTTTCTTAATTTCCTTAACAAGTTCAAGGAGGTTTAAAAGTTCAAACTCTATTGCTCTTCTTTTTGCCCACTTGACCTATGACCTGGCCATATGATTCTGCATTCAGTCGAGCTACATGACATTGTACATGGTATACACAGGAGCCACACACAGTTTTCTTCTTTACACCTACCACCACCCCTTTCTCTGCCATTCCTGGGTAGCTTTTAACTTAAAAGTTTAGGTAATGGTTTATATGATGTCATAATTTCTTAAAATTTAAAAATTACATAGAGTCGATTCCGCGTCACCGAGTGGGTTTTTTCTCCATGTTTCTAATACATTTGAATTATTTAGAAGAAAAGAATACCTTAGTAACAAAAGTTCTAAATTTTTCAAAAATTTGAAAATGAAAATTTGAATATATTTGAATTCATTTATATATTTCTGAAACATTTTGAAAGTGACTGTACAAAGATCTCTTTATTTAGAATAAATTTGAACTGTAACCCATTTGTTTCTTTCACTATTCGAAATATTTAGAACTATTTCAAACAAATGAAAAATGGTAGATGTGGGTAATTGCCCCCATAAAAGTAGGTGCTAATCCTACTCTTTTGTATTCTTCTGTATATTTTTAGATTTCACTGTTGGACACTGGTGGCTCTTTTGTTGTAAGGCATCAATGCCTGACACCCAGGCAGTCTACCCTGTACTTCACAGGGATGTGTGAATTACTTCCTTCCCATCCCACTGACCTATTTACAAAATGTTAGAAATAATTCGAAATAATGGTAAAAAATGGTAGAGTGCTGTTAGAAATATTTTTAGAAACTATTGGAAATGTCATATTCCACATCAGGAATATTTCAAACGTTTTTGAAAACCTGGGAATTATTTAGAATATTGACAAGACGTTCAAAATATTTCCAAATAATGAAATTTCTTAGACAAACAATTACAAGAATTCAAAACATTTCTAAATAATGACAATAACAACCCACACGGTGACGCGGAATGGACTCTACCACCAACTCAGAGTGACTTTAAGAATTGTATTATATCATATACATGTATCATGAATTTTATACTTGGAGGATTTTAAAGGCGGATCTGTAAGCAATGACGCATTTCAGGTAATGATTTTATATTGTACCTGCTATGTCATTGGGAATAAAATCTGAAATTTCATTAAGTTCTTGTTAGGTTTTCTTTTGGCAAAAGTGACCCTTGATTAAACTTTTCCCTTTCTCTGGCCACACTGTGACTGTGTGTGTGTGTCACTGGTCTGTTTAGTCTGTATGATAATAATTATTAATATTACAAGTAAAAGTAACTGTTTCCCCTTACCAAGATGTCCTCAGGAGTGTGCCATGTGTGCCACAGGATCCAGAACCAGAAGAACCCCATCAGAGCGTCAGCCCTTCTGTGTAGTCCCTTACTGGCAGTGATCAACCCTCTGTACGGGAACTCTATATTTGCACTAATAAACACAAACAACAACAATTACATACTCGCTTTACCACTGGGACATGACAGCCTGGGGTTGACCAGGATTTTGGGTACTGTATGTTGATGGCCATTGTTGAAATAATTGGATTGTAATTATGCAAATCAGGGAATACATGTAAAACAGATACAGAAACTACATGTACTTAGTACATGGTAGTTTTTGTTACATGTAGTTGTAGGTAAGGATCAGGACACGGTCGGTCGCAAGTTAAAAAAGTACTATATTTAGAATAGAGTAGAAAAGAATAACCAAGAAAGACAAAAACAAACAAAGAAACAAACAAACACTATCATAAAAGTTCTGACTGTATATACAATATAGTAATCATAATCATATGTTGAACTTTATTCACCTGAATATTCACCTGAATCCAGGCCATTAGGTACCCTTACTGGGTAATGAGGCCGTCTTCGTGGTGTAGATTACACAAAGATTACACAGAGATTAAAATTTATTTCCAATGACCACTTTTGTCTTCATCAGACGAGCAAACAAATTATAGCAGCATGAAAAGTCTACCAAGCCTGAACTTGCTATACACATAGTGACAAATATTTAACTTCTTGTTGTTATTTAACGTAAAAGCAACACACTTTCGAAGCTTTCTCTAGAGGTCATCTCGCCCCCCTCCCCACATGGACCAAAAAACGAAACCAAAACCACAACTTACTGCCTGACTTGTGATCTTAACGGTCCCCGAGCTGCCAGCATGCCTGCCTGTCCTAACCGGAGAATTGCCGGCCGCAGCATGGTGAGATTTTAGGGTGATTTTGAGGCCAGATAAAAACTTTTTCGCTCCCCTCTGCTCGTAAAACAAAATGGCGATTTGACTGCAGACTATACCATCCTCCAGGGAAGAACTAAGGAAATTTATATTTACCAGTTTTCCACAATCATAACTACAGAATATGATAATATTACGAACTATTTACCAAGGATAATTTTAATATATTTAGGATAAGACAGTTTTATTCTAATATAAAATGATTTCAGAAAAAATTACTTTTTGAATTATAATCACCCATGATATATGGTATAGTCTAACAACCTTTAGCCTCAATGTCCCTACCTCATTTGTTAACTGCTCTCTGATTGGTTAATCGGTTGTCACTTCACCAATCAGAAACCAGTTGACAGATCTCTGTGGGACGCTATCTAATCACCAATGTAAATAGCAACCAGATCTTCCTAGCAGCGGGTAAACAAAGTAGTGGCTATGCTTCCTACATGTGTATCTCAGTTTTGGTAGTTACGCTTTGACTTGCAGCCAAGTCGGCACGCCGGATAGGGCACCGGCTACTTTTCTAGACATTTTTGTCTCCAGTAGTGTCTTAATTTAGCGTAACTTTCCCTTTTTATCCACTAATGGTGTGAAGAAAGGAGGAGTGGTGAAAAATATTTTGCCGGGAAATTTCTAAGACGTATTTTCTGAGACATTTTTTCAAGGAGGACTTGAAGATGACGGCGGTACCAGTGCTTGCAGGTCGGGGTTTTCCGACAATGTTCGGTGAAATCCGTGATCAGAATGTGACATTTTGCGTGGACACCTCGGGCAGCATGTACAGTGATCTGAGCGTTGTGAAGGAGCATCTGACTGAAGCACTACTGAAGATAGCATACACAGCTCCGGACAAAATGTTCAACGTCATCGAGTTTTCTACTGAGGTAAGTTACTGGCAATATCTCAATTCCTACTTAATTACTACTGCCATACTACTACTACTACTACTACTACTACTATTACTACTAACGTTACTACTACAACTACTGCTACTTAACGTTAACGTTACTTACTAAATGTATCTATTCTAGAACATTAGTCTGCACTGAAACACTTTGCGACAGTAAAAGGAACTCTTTTCGATTGGAAACAGAAATATAGAAGAATTGAACTTGGCAGAATGATAGATAAATTATGAGACTAGCATATCGTGTATCGCATATGATATAAACCTGATGTTTTTGGAAACATAAAAATAACTTGCAAGCTGACACAAAATTTTGAAAGCTGAAAACAGGGAAAGCACAACAAAAAGTATTAGCAGGTCTTTAAATGTGTAGTAAATGTTCCCCAGCCAACCAGAAAACACTAGCATAATTTGTTTATTCAAAGCTAGTTAGTGCTATAGTCAGCCATTGTGGGCATGGATATGGTGGAATTACATGTGGTCTGCATCTTTTAGGTTGAATCACCCACAAAACTATTGAAGTCAAAGATAGAACAGTAACTACAGTACTTCTGAACACTAGTAAAAGAAAAACACACAGGTTGCAAATGATTAGCTGACTGATGCAACAGTCGCCATATTTGGTCAAAATGCCCTTAAGGGATCTTCTTTTTGATTCACCACACCTTAATGTATTATTAATTAAGCAGCATTCCACATTCCTGGGCAAAGAAAAAACAACATGGTGTCAGCCATTATGTTGTGTATTAACTACCATAGAGACATTCCAAATACTATTTTATTTGTGTATCGTGTATTGACATCTAAAACCAGCCACCAACACTTATGTTCTACCTGTATATATTTGTTATCAACCCATACCAATTGTACAAGACTTAGTACAAAATGTAGTATTAGTTAGACTCTGTTGAACAAAATGTTGCGGGATATACAAATTTAGCTGTACTGATTGGTAGTGGAGTGTACTTCTTTTTACAAAATGTTGAGACAGCTAAATAGTATTGTAACAACCATTGCAGAGTCAAGGTGGACATGAAGATTTCAGTTCATACACAAAGGAGATTTTATTTAGTTAAATGTGAGATATGATGTTGACATCATTATCTGTATGGTCATGACATGACTTGAACCATAGATTATTAGGGCTTCAAACCTTGCAAACTAACAACTGTAACTATAGACAACCAGGGGCGCCAGAGTATACAGTGCAATCGTATTAGAATACAGCGCAATTTTACGGAATACAGTGAAATTTTACGGAATACAGTGCAATTTTACTAATGACGTTGTTATGACGTAACCTGGGCCGGGCTTTCCAGGGATGCCGCTGACGGAGTGTACTCACGCATTTCTGTGTTTTTCGAGTGAATTTGGACCGTTTTCGTAGATAGACCTTTAGTCAAATCACTACATACTACACACAGGGCATGTTACTACATAGGGATCATTTTGAATTCGCTCAAAAAAGACAGAAATATGTGAGTCAGCGGCGTCCACCATCTTGAAACTCAAGGAAAGCAGGGTCCAAGTCACATGATTTAACGCATTAGTAAAATTGCACTGTATTCCGTAAAATTGCACTGTATACTCTGGCACCCCTGACAACTGTTTCTTAGAGACGAGTTGTTGTAGCTCCATGGTTGTCTATGTGTTTGTCCAATACTGTCAAAGTTGATATTTATCTATTGTAAGAAATGTCATAGGCCATTGTCTGACATTGAATGGTTGTGTCATTGGCAATAATACATGTCTGATTGTGTGTACATTCCCTGTTCAGATACATGTCATTAGGCCACACCAATTTAATTTGTAGGTTCTCGGATTCGCCTCTTCATTTTTTTCTGATTTGCAAAAAAAAAAAAAAAAATTTGATTCTGGTCCTAAATCAACTGAAAAATGCTCATGTTTTGCCCCCAACAGTTGAGGAAAGTCCTTTTCTTCCTAGTTGTTACAGTTTTCCCATCTATCATTGCAGTGGTTTAATTAAAAGTTCGAAATTCAATGTTTAAATTTTAACCCAGCCTTTTGTGTTGACTTCATGGCTCATTCCATAGCATTTAAAGCCTATAATAGCATGCCTAGACCTGTTTTTATTTTTATTTTTTTTCGCCCTGTCGCTTCATATTTTTTCTGAAAAAATCCGAGAACCAACAAATTAAATTGGTGTGGCCTTATGTTTGAATGCAATCCCTATGATCACGTTTAGTATTCAGATAAAGCTATGAATATTTCAAAGTGTAGTTCAAAACATACGTACATAATATGTAACAAGATGATGTCACAAGACAGTCATAATACATGAAAGGGGATAAATAATTAATAGGTGTACATTGATGAAGGTTAGACATCCAGGTAACAGGTATAAACAAGAAAACACTCAGGTACTCAAGCAATTCAAAACATCCAAAAGTTCTCTTATGACAATACTGAATGTACCTGGAATTCACTACTGTCATATATTCACGCACAGGCTATCATAGTTTTGGATGCTCCTTTGAGTTGAACAGAATACCTGTCCCAACAGTCCAGTAATACATGCATGTGTACCTATGCACGTTTTTTTTCTAGAAAAATTTAGCTAAGAGGGAGCATATTGCAAGCATGGCAAGGGAGCGAAGCAACCGACGTTTTTTTTTAAATGAGAGTAACACAGTTTGTAATGCTAGAATGAATTTTTGTATTATCTTCACATCTTAACTGAAAAAAAAATGAGAAAGACTAAATGGTGTGTAAGTAAGTAACTCAGGGTTCAATCTGAGAATTGATATGAGGGAGCAGGCTGGTTACATGAGGGAGCAGCACCCTTATTCCCCTGTTTAGAAAAAAAACCTGCTATGCTCCAAAGGAGTGTCTTAACTAATTTTATGCTAAGCACCTGAATAATAACTGTGTTTGTTGCTCATCAGGTTGACCAGTGGGCTGACCGTATGGTGAAATGTACTCCACACACGGCCACCAGAGCGGCAGGCTGGATTCGTGCTTTGACCCCGAAGACAGGAACAAACACCTTAGATGCCTTACTGACGGCTCTCGGAGACCCGGAGTGCACGTCCGTGTACTTAGTCACGGACGGTCTACCCGACCAGGCGCCGCACGACATTCTCCAACACGTGGCGTATCTTCCCGCGGCCGCCCCGTCCACTGCATCTTCCTGACACACACCTTCGCTGACGCAGCCGCACACGACTTTCTACAGGACCTGGCTATCCAAACTCGCGGGTCCTTCCACATCATCACTCTTACAACTGACGGTAACGTCCACAGGGTCACACCAGTCTACCGCGCTGACCATTCCGGTAAGCGTCCACTAGGAGGTCCTCTGTACCCACCACTCAAGTCATCAAGTGTGATGACAAGACTTGACCATAACCCGTTCTTGGAAGGGACAGATCCCACCCCCATTGTCACCTACACACCCTGGGAACCAGTTGTCACATACACACCGCTGGACACAGTTGTGACAGTACCGAGTGTGGGAACAGCGACGTACACTCGCCCGCTGAAACTCCGCAACACCATCACGGGGAAGATCGTGGACACGACGAGTCTGGAGTTCTCTCCGTCGGCTAGTCTCATCATGCGGGGGACACGAGTGTTGGCGAGACGGGATGAAGACGGTTACTACTACATGGGCACAGTGGCAAATCAACTTCCTGTAAGTTGGATGACTTAGTTATGGCCATATTCAATAGTCCCTTTTTGGTTTGACTTGACTTAAATGCAGCATATGTTAATGTTCTGTATTATTGCAGAATGTCAAAATTTTGTTCTACAATTCAGAAATACTTAGGACCTAAACCCATGGCGTATACAAAATTGCATGTTGGCAAACATTTTACTTCAAATTTGAAAAAATACAATATACATGCAAAATTATTAATCGTATAGTATTATAGAGCTAGTACATGTATGTTATGCTGACACCATTGAACCGCAAGCCTGTTTTTTTAGTCTGCAAAATTGCAGGTTTCCGGGTAATTCATTTTCTTAATAATATGCAATATTGAAAATGTCTCTGCAAAATGCAGAGGGGTACTGCTAACAGTTATTGCAATGACGCATTAATGTACATGTATAGCTAACATCAATTTCATTGCTTGAATCTATAGGATGCAAAGGGCCGTTTCATGATTGAGTTTGACAAGGCACCAACCTTGAAGAGTCGTATGCAGGAGACAGGCATCTATGACATGATCGCTCATGTGGACGCCTTCCGACACAAAATAGTCCCTGGTGACAAGGTCCTGGCACCGTGGGAAGAGACAGGACGGAGATTCGGGCCCGGAACAGTACTGGAAGGGGTGGAGAGAAGATTTGAAGACAGTAAGTTGTCTTTTTTGTACCATATTTATGAAGATTTACCACATTTGTTGATAGATTGACATAAGGCCACACTAATTTAATTTCTTGGTTAATGGATTTTCTAGAAAAATAATGGAGCGGGCGGGCGAAAAAATAAAAATAAAAACAGGCCTAGGCATCCTATTATGGTCAATAATGGTACGATAGGAGCCATGAAGTCAACACACCAGGCTGGTTCAAACTTTAAACAATGAATTTTGAACTTTTAACGATACCACTGTATTGAAAGATGGAATAACTGTAACAACTAGGAAGAAAAGGACTGTTTTCAACTGTTCAAGGCAAAATATGAGCATTTTGCAGTTGATTCTGAATTTTTTTTTTGCAAATCAGAAAGATGAAGCGGGCAAATCCGTTAAGCAAGAAATTAAATTGGTGTGGCCTAACAGGTGACCATCACCTTGTCAAACTTGAGACCAGACAAGTTTTGGGACAAGTGTGGTGGGATCTGTAATGTGCTCAAGGTGTGGCTCTACTCAACTTTGGTCACCTGTATCAAATGTACATGTATCTTGAAAGTTCATCTGACAGTGTGTTGGTAGAAGTCATTATGCAGCAAGTTTAAACTGTAACTTCCAACTTACACAAGAAATTGGACTCACCCAAATTTTTTGACTGTACAACTCCAGTCTTTGTCAAGGAATGAGCAATCCACCGCTTCCGTGACGTCATGCAGATAACACACGTGACTCCGTGAGCAGTGGATCATAGGATGCAGAAAGTCTGTGGCGCCCCCCGTCTCTGTTGAGGGATGGCTGTAATGCCCTGATGTACTAGATGGCCTCTTTAATCCCTTGCTGCAAAATGTACATGTAGTATTCACCTAGTCCTGTAGTGAGGTCTCATTTCCTGTCCTCTTTGTCTTTTCAGGTATTGATGATGATGAAGACTTGGTGGTGACGTTCTGGAATGGTAAAACGGAGTCTGTCCCCAGACACAAGGCCATCTGGATCCCCCTCATGCTGTACGAGAGAGTCATCTTTGAGCTCCAGATGCCTGTGGCGGCGCGGGAGAAGTTTCTGGAAGCTAACCCAGGCTGGCCGTACGAGTCTCCGCCCGGGTACCCGTCCACGTACATCGTCGGTGACCCGGCAGAGTTCACTCCACCCAAGCCTGCACGCATCAAGTCTCCACATCTAGTCAGCAGTACCAGGCACGTCTACATGCCAACACACTACCCAACATACCCGTACCCCTGGTAAGTTGGAATATTCTATTATATAACTGTTGTATTTGGTCATCTAAACAGATAGGGAGTGAGTATTGTAAGATCTGCTTAAAGGGTGAATGCTCAAATTTTCCCTGTTCAGAAAATACATGATCAGGGCTTTTATCTGAGCTTGTAAATTACATCTTACACTTCATTAATGAAATTGCTCTCCAACACAAAAATTTGACTTGCTGGAATTTTTTAAAACAAATTTTTCGGTCTTAATCAGCTACATTTGTATCTGACCCAAATCCTGTAGACACGTGAAAATCACCTGGATTTGGTCAAAATGTCTGGTGAGTCAAATTTTTAGGTTGGAGAACAGTTTAATTTTCATTATGATAACAGCCTGTCTGACAGTAAACGTAGATCTAAGATCAGGACGATAAAGATGCAAATGCCTGCAAACATAACTAAACAGATTTTGTCTCAACTTTTGCAGGTACTGGTATCCAGTTGTCCCATCCACTTTGGAGACAAAGGACGATGGGAAAATCCCCGGAGCCGATGTCACAAAAGATCAGCTGAACAGAAAAGTCTTACAGCAGCTGAGAGAGAACAAACTTCTCCTGGATGACACCAGGGAGGAGATGAAAGACCTCAGAAGGTCCCTCAAGAAATCCAAATCCATAGACAGTGGCCTGAGTTCTCTAAGTGACTATGAGGACTTGTATGAGTATGAAGACTTCACACCTAGAGATAAGTCAACCAACACTGATTGGAGCCTCTACAAGGAGACCAAAGGGACACAGAAGGAGGAGCGTCCGCCTTGGAGATACTGGTCAAGAACACCGAGATCTCCTGTGTCGAAGGCACCCCATCCTCCAACGTCAAAGCCAACGAAACGGTATCCAGCGTTTCGCGACACCACGGTCGACACTCCGATGGAGCTGCTTCGAGGGCCAAACGATGAACAGGTTGTTGAGCGTCCCGTCGTTCCGCGTGGAACACACGGACACTATCAGACAAACTCTCGCCAGCTCACACCGGCCAGGCCATTCACCGCGCCGGGGGGTGGGAGAGCGACCGTTGTCACAGGGCCGAATGACTACGACTATTCCGTGTTCAACACGGTCAACCATTCGCAGCCGCCAGCACAGCCGCCACAGGGACCTCCAAACAAGAGCTCGGCCTTCCAGAACGTTGACCACACCTTCAGACGCAGCATCAACATGAGGGAAGCCATGATGCACCCACAACCTCCACCTGCCTCTCCCTACCTGGCACAGAGACAAGGTTGGCCATCATCATCATATTGATCATGACATTTGTAATGTTCCCTAATATATTAATGGTGCTGTCAAGACTGCTTTGAATAACAAACTCTAATGTTTTTCTTATCTACAACAGTGATCTGACCAACAATATTACATTTAGACAGTAACACACAGCTGTCCTTTTTTCCATCGCTAGGCACACTTAATGTGCACATCCTATAAACATTAGTCTTGACGAAAGAAATTACCTTCAAGTTGTAAGAAACACTAGTACTGACTCCTCAAAAAGTCTTTGGCCCACCTTGGTGCTTAAGATGTGATGTGATATGAATGAGGAGGATAACACAGGTACATGTAAATAATCTATCCATGGTTTGAGATACTCATGGTTTCTGTGAGAGTTAGTGGAGATGCCAGGTTGCCTGGTGCAAAAGTTTCTACATAATATGTAGAGGACTCAACAAAAAAATGTCCAATGCACAGTCAGTCACATACATTGTATACTAACCATTTCACATTTAAAGTGACACACGTATATATGCCAGGAGTGGTTCATCACAGCTTGTACATGCTGCAAAGAAAACCGCACACTTCATGCATTATAATAAGTCAATATTACACCGACTTCCTTATATATAGCATTTTTTTTTACAACAGGAGTCTGGAACACAAACTTAAGGTGACATGATGTACATACATGCCGTGAATGTATACATTGTACTGTGAAAAAACACTGTCAATTTAGGTTGTACCTAGTGCTGCATACCAAAACCCACATTAAGGTTCAAGTCCAGAGGTTTAGGTTCAGTTCCGGACTTGTAAGTCCGGACCTAAACCCATGGTATATACAAAATTGCATGTTGGCAACCTTGCAATGTTCAGGGTGAAACTTTGGTCACTTAACATGGAGGCCGGCACTTGACGATGCCCAAAGGCAATGTCTTCTTCGTTTTGCAGCAAAGATTTTGCAATCTACGGAAGGTTTTAGGTGGTTTGGAAAGAAAAGGGGTATGTGAAATGGTCTTTTATCATCATCATAATGGTAATAAGTTCTATTTTTTTTGGACTTGAACCTAAACATTCTTACAAGTCCGGATCCAAGTCCAGTGAACTGGTACGCAGCACTAGTACCCCATGTACTGTGTGTAAATATGACTGGAAAGTGTCTGTTTGTTTCTTTGGTGTGTCAATCTGGCTCAGCTACATTGTAAACTAGCTATTCGGGTGAAATTGGTATCATAAGACATTTGGCTTGCATGACATTCAATCCCTTAGAAGGTTGCTAAGCCCCAAATGTCCTGTGCTTTGTGTGCTTCAGAGTGTACCTGTATTGTGTTGTGGCAACTACATGTACATATTTGAATAAACAAAAGTACTGGACACAGCTAAGTGCATGTATTTGTTGTGTGGCAGCTTAGTTGCAGTGCAACTTACTTACTGTAATCAAATGTTCTACATCACCAGGCAGTGACAGACAGAAAATAGGACAAAGTCACAGGCAGATTAACTAACATTTTTCACTGCCACTGGGGTTGACTTATCTATCTAGCGATCATAGCTTGAGAATTTTCCTTACCGGTATTCATAATATATTTTCTACATCGTACCATTCCTATACAAAGGCCATTTAGTTCTAAAATACAAGACTAGTATTTCTTTCCCTATCAGCATAACACTCACTACAGGACTTTCTGCACTCTGCTTTTGAGAATGAACACTTTTATCACATTTAATTTCTTACTTACATAACACGTGTGTTTCACTTCACATTAACAAGATGTGTGTTTTTCTCTCCCTGCACCCCTTCTTCCTTCATAGATGAGTCTTCTACACTTTCAAGGGATGTTGGGCCAGCTTCTGAGGATATGCAGCTTGTTCCTATTGAAAATGTCAAAGATTCTGAGCAGGATAACATGCAGATAGTGCCAGTTATGGATAGCTCACAGAATAAAACCGTTAGGTTCTCAACAATCAAAGGCAATCCAGATCATGACAGGCAAATATTGCGAACAAAATCAGAACAGTCAGTACAACGTAGGGACGGATCAAGGAGCAAAGCCAGGAGTGTTTTCGAAGCATTTGAAAACTCAGAGGGTACAAATATAAGGTCATTGAAAGAGAGGGAAAATTCCAGCATCCAGAGTATTGAACTTTTGCATGTTTCAGGAAATTCATTGGGAAATGAAGTGAAAAGCATTCTAGGGGGTAAGAAGGAACAAAAATGTAAAGATGTGAGTGTGTCTGAGGTGCTGGAAACTGGTCATGGCAGGATGGCTTGTGATGTAAATGTGAAAGAAAAGTCAGACAGTAATGATACAGAATTTCTGAGGGAGTCGAAAAACTTGGGAAACCATAGTCAGTTGCAAGGCATACATGTGAGAAGCAATTCCAACAGCAAAAGTGCTAATGCACATGTAGTTTCTGAAGATGATTTTAGCAAAACAATCTCCGATTACAAGATGAGTGAAAAGTCCAAGAAAGAAAGAATTGATCAGCTTTGTGTATCTGAATGTCCGCAAATGACAAAAGCACAGGCAGTACAACAGACCAAGACTTCCAAGGCAAAAACTGCAAATCTTTCAGAAACCACAGAAACAGAATTTGGAACATGTGTACGAAAACTGCACATGTCAGAAAAATCCAGCAAATTGCAAAACACACAGTCTGTTTTGGTGAGAGATGATAGTCAGCTAAAGGTAGAGAGCAGCTCTGGTCCATCCCATAATACTCTACCATCATCCTGGGACAGAGAGGAGCTGTCCTTGACTCAGTCCTGGTTACTTGCTGGGTGGAAACCAAACTACAACTCCTACGGAGTCATCACCCACAAGTGTAGGATATTTGTCGCTTGCTTCCCCATCCCCATTTAGTAGATTTGCATGCTTTAGTTAAGTTTATAAAATGATAAATGGCTTTGCATGGCGGTCAAATAATACAGCATGACTTTTCTCTGTCAATGGCTGATATAGTTCAGAAATACCATGGTGACCATGGATGTGAAAATATTTGAAGTTTATTATTTTCAATTAACAAAAAAGCTTTTTTTTTTAAATCACAGCTGCAAGATAACGTACAGCCTGCATGTAGTGTCTGAAATACTTGTAGTTAGCATTTAGTAAATGTATGATGATGATGGTGACGATAGATGCATGTTAACTTTGCAATCCTACATGTATATGCTAATAATTGCAACTGATAAATTTTCCTGTGTTTATATGGTGAGTTTGATTTGGGGTTAAAATGCCTCACACATGGAACATTTTTAAGTTTCCTTGTAAATCTGATTATCTTCTGTTAGCTAAATGTCACTCACACTTTTTGTTATATCTTATTTTTTGCTAGATAATATGGTTTAAAAAAAAGAGCAATCTAATGTCAGCAAGAAAAACATTCTTGAAAAAAGACAAAATTTACAAAAGACCTGCATCAATGATACTTACTCCTCAAACTGAACTCACCACCAGTGTGATCTGTATACTAATAAGAAGGGATTTTCTTACAGGCACTAAACTAACTCCCAGTAAAGTGGGAACCACAGATGGGACCATGGTACCGCCACAAACAGTGGTACAGGACTCTGTTCCCAGTTCGGAGGTGGTACCAGTTCACGTACCTAAACCCCCATCTACAAAACAAAGGGCTGGTCCTCCAAATGATAGCAAAGGCAAGGCCTGTTGGGATTGTATATATTGTCTTGTAGGTTTGTGATGTACATGTGCAGCTGTGCATCATTCTTGTGTATTATGCAGCAAGTTTAAACTGTAATTTCAAACACAAAAAATTGGACTCACCCAAATTTTCGACTGTACAACTCCAGTCTTTGTCAAGGAATGAGCAATCCACCGCTTCCGTGACGTCACACAGATAACACACGTGACTCTGTGAGCAGTGGATCACAGGTTGCAGAAAGTCTGTGGCGCCCTCCGTCTCTGTTGAGGGATGGTTGTAATGCCCTGATGTAGATGGCCTCTTTGTGTTGAAAATTAGAGATTAAACTTGCTGCATAATGACTTCTACCAACACAGATGAACTTTCAAGATAAGATTGTTGTGTATTGTTTTGCATGAATGTGTGCAAGTCATGTTATTCTAAATGTCATCATTACTCACACAATTTGCATTTCATCTCATTGAATGAATTTTCCCATTATGATTCCAGGGCCTAATGAAAACAGATCAAAAAGTCTCCCTGTCCTCATTATTACGGAAATTTTACTTAATTTTCACATTTTTTCAGAGATTTATGTATTAATGTATTAAATAAATCATTACTTGGATGATATCAGTCAATGGAGCATGTTGTGGTATTCTCATTTCCGTAAATATGACAGTTATGCATTATATACCCAGGTCCTGTTGCCCCAATCTTTGTGTGCAAAGTCAAAGTCCTGCAGTTAGATTTTCAAATAGTAAGAAATGGACAGCTAAGCAATATTACTATTTACTGTGTATTTGATTGCCCTGACAGTGACAAACTAGCCAAGAGAGCATGGCCATGGATAAATCAGCCTTCTGTGATAGCTACCAATGATGTACACATACATTACACCGTGCGAATTTGAGAGGAAGGATGTAGAGATTACCATAATTAATAACAAGAATAAAACTTGATATATTTCCACGAAAGGCAGTTTTCTCAACTCGATGACCACTTTTGACCAGTACTGAAAACATTGTTGCTAAAACTGGAATTTGATTTTCGTCATCAGGATATCCACTGAACGAGACAATCGGACGCAACAAAAACATCCTGAGTCAGGAGGAGGCTGAGAACACGCTGTCCGACTTCCGGCGCCGTAGAGAGATGCTTCGCCGACAGTCTGAGCACAGACAGAGGACCGAGGCTGAGGAGAAGGCAGCGGCCATCGAGGCTGCTAAAAGGTAAGGAATGGATCGACTTCACACAAGTTTTAATCAGCTTTTAAATTGAGAAATTATGTCACTCTGTATTTTATGTATGTAACGTTAAGGCCACACCAATTAAATTAGTTGGTTAACGGTTTCGCCCGCTTCAATTTTTTTTTCATTTTGCAAAAAAAAATCATAATCAACTGCAAAATGCTCATATTTTGCCCTGAACAGTTGAAAACAGTCCTATTCTTCCTAGTTACAATTATTCCATCTTTCAATGCAATGGTATCATTAAAATGTCAAAAGTCATTGTTTAAATTTTGAACCAGCCAGGTGTGTTGACCTAATGGCTCCTATCATACCATTTTGGGCCATAATAGGATGCCTAGGCCTGTCTTTATTTTTTTTTTTCGCCCGCCCACTCCATTATTTTTCTAGAAAAATACGTTAACCAAGAAATTAATTTGGTGTGGCCTAAGTTTGTATTTCGCACATTTTACTGTACATTCAAGCATGGTGGGAAAATGTCCAATAGGGTATATTCTGAAATAAAGATTGATCAAAAGTTTGTTGTGAAGAAACATGTAGCCTTATCAATGTGAAGTCTAGAGAAGTGTAAGAAACAGGAGGAGCGAGTAGAAACAGATAAAAACCCTTCTGGTCCCGAGCTGGGGTTCGAACCCACGACCTCCCAGGCACCAGCTTCATAACCCGACGCTCTAACCACTCGGCTGAAAAGGTCTAGACCCGTCGGCCGGGTCAGTTGGTAGCGCCTATAAACCCCCCACTGTTACACTAGGTCCATCACTTCTTTAGGAGTCAGATTTGAAAGAACTGCTACACTAGAACACAAATCAGCACCAAGGACAGGGAAAAGCCTACAGCTCTGGGGAAAAATTAAACAAATGTTGTGTTTTTTTCTTCCTTAGACAACAGGCACTACAGTTCATCAAACAAGACATTGATCGTCATGAGTCCAACGAGAAGAAAGTCCAGGACACTATTGAAGCCAAGCGGGGCATCACCAGCTCCATCCAGCAGTATGAGAGGAACAGGGAAGATGGACACTTCCAGAAAGACCAGGACCGCGTGTCGGCACTTCGGCAGAGACAAGTCAGACATGACGTACTCCAGCAGCAGAGGATGCAGGAGAAAGAGGACACCATCAGGAGAAGACGAGTAAGTTCATATTCAGAGGCAATAATGTTATGCCAGTCTGATCCAAACACGAACATTATTTCCCAGTGAATGCACTGTAGTAAATGAGATACTTTGAGACCAATAGAAACAGATAATTGCTAACAGTTGTCACAATTTCTCCATCCTTTTGCCATGATGTAGATCACAAAAGACTATATTTTTACAAGGAGGTTTAATAACCTCCTTGGTTTTTACTGAGATCACAAAACCCATTCATTATGCGGAATGTGGGACTATTCATTATGCAAGTTGCCTTCAAAGAAGAAGTCAGACCTCATGATAGCAAGCTTAGTAGCAGTATTTATATATTAAGTGGTCCTCGTCATGATGATGGACGAATGATAGTATAAGTTGATCAGACAGTAGTTTGATGGTTCTTGGATTTTTTCAGAAAAAATATGAAGCGTCAGGGGGAAAAATAAAAACAGGCATCCTATTACAGCCTCAAATGCTACAAAAGGAGCCATGAAGTCTACACAAAAGGCTGGGTTAATATTTAAACAATGAATTTTGAAATTTCAATCAAACCACTGCATTGATAGATGGAAAAAAAACTGTGACAACTAGGAAAAAGAAGACTTTTCTTCAACAGTTGGGGCAAAATATGAGCATTTTTGAGTTGATTCAGAACCAGAATCTTTTTTTTTGTTGCAAATCAGAAAAAAAATGAAGAGGCGAATCCGAGAACCAACAAATTAAATTGGTGTGGCCTTATCCACATATAAGCGATAAGCCTGGATCAGCCATGATTTTGTAATTAGATTGTGTAAAGATTATTTCTGACTTGTTTGATATTACAGGAGGGACATGAGGCTCGTATTGCCATGCACAACCTGGAGTCTGAGATCAAGTACGACGTGGAACAAGGAAAACTTCAGACCAGAGACACACGGAGGAGAATAGCCGAGTCCCAGCGACGCGAGTTCTTCCACAAAAAGGAGATGGCGGCTCAGGAAAAGAAAAACTTGACGGCAACGGTAGATGAGCAAAAGTTACAAATGTACAGGTCACATGTTCTACCTTAATGACATCAAACTATGCAGGAATTGAGAGAATCTTTCATAATATATTTAGTAAGAGAAGATATGAATTTAAAGGTAGTTTTTTGTAACTATAATTATAGTTGATAGTCATAAATGCACAGCAAACTAGTCAGAGAAGTAACATTTGCAAAGCAAATACATAATGTTTACCTTCGGACATCAGTCACCATGGTGACAGACGTCAACAAATCATGTCATTGGCCAGGTCAGAGATTAGTGTTTGGAACAGAAGAGGAGGAGGAAGAAACTGAGTAGAAACAATACTTTTCCTTTGGTAAATATAATTTAGAAGATTACTAGTACATTAAGGTAGAGGAGCTACTTAAGGGAAACTAAGGTAATGATATTTTATCTTTCAAATTCATCTGTCATAAAATTATTGTTCGTCAACACGCTCAGTCTTCTGTAACTTGCCTTATAATATTAATTACAAATGAAGATGACAATGTTTTATCCACATTGATTTTGAAAAGTTTCAAGTTATGACTAAAATAGTGCCTTAGAATTAAGTATTTTTACATTCAAACTGAATGGTGGAAGACATAATCTATATTGAATACTCATAGCATAGAAATAGAGGCTTCGGAGTACAGTAGAGACAGTTTCCTATGCAAGCTATTTATTCAACTTTCAAACAGGCTTATTAATTGATTATGTGCATGCAGTCTCAGGGGTTGAATTATGACAGGCAGGACCATATTAATTTTCTATATTGTGATTGTGGAATATGATTATGTTGTACATCTACATGTATCAGCTTGTATGACCCAGTGTCACATTATTTTGAGATTAATAAGATTCAAAATGTGTCATATCTGAAGACACCATGTTTTATATTTTGCATTTATTACATGTCATAGTTGCAGTCATTTATTGGTGCTGGTCATTACTTTTTGAGTTAGAGTCTCCTTAGAATTGTATTTTAGGACTTTATAGCTACGCAAATGACATCCTACCCTGAAAGTCAATATGAAGCAACTGTAATTTTCAACACAAGAAATTGGACTGACGCAAATTATCAAATTCTTTGTCAAGCAGTGACTGGAGTGACAAAGACTGGAGTTGTGCAGTCCCATTTTTTTGTGTTGGAATCTTGCTTCAGAATGACACCCTTTTTCCTTTTAATTTTATTCTGACTTACATGTAAGTATCACTGCATGGGTGCTATAATTATAAATCTGCTGTTCTTCTTCGTCTTCTTCGTTACTGCCCAGCACTACAGAGTAGTATTATTGGCAGTCGTTACGCAATATTGTTAGTAACAATTGTGCCCGGTACATAAAAAACAAAGGGAAAAACAAGGATAACTGAGAAAGGAACATAAGACAACTGATTTTGTGTGTGCTAAAGACAGGACAAGTGCATTAGTGCGTTAGTAATATTTACATATATACAAGACATGATGGGGTGACTCAATGCAGCAGGGTCCTCGCCAGTTCAGATTTGAACTGGGCGAGAGACCCCGCCTCCACCGTACCAGGCTCAAGTTCGTTCCATTCCCTGATGGTACGGGGGAAGAACGAGAGCCTGTAGAAGTTGGTTCTGCTCGCGATGGCCTGCTGTTAAATGTGTAATTTTTAAAACTTCTTAGCCATAATGTTAAACATGGCTGCCATAGCCAATAGTTAGCCCTTTCATCAGACTGAAACTGAATTAAAAATGTGGAACTTTGGTACAACTTGCTTGTGTGTGACTGTTTCTGGTAACCTGTCCATGAATAAAGTATTGCACAAGCAATACTGTGCAATTGGCTAAAACAACGCCCCCTAGCAGTTGCAAACTGCATGACAGTAATGTGTGAGTACTGGTAGTGCTGTGCTTTAAGTAGTAATGATGCTGTAAGTTTAGGTAAAAGCACTGTGTGCCACAGTGAAACAATTTTTTCTTGCAAAATCACCCCTCTAGCCTGTCCCCCTGGCCAGGCTCCTGTGGGAAGGCCCTCAGACACTGGAGTTTGTGTAGCAAAGACTACATTTCATCCTACATGTACTGTACAACATGTATCCTGTGAGAATCTAAATACGTGATCCTGTAATAAACCTGGCATGTAGGCAGGGAGTAGACTCCTTAGGCCACAGCAAGTAAATTCTATGGATGACATCCTCCGCAGACTCCAAATCTAATGCGAGCAGGCGAAAAAAAACAAGGCGGGCAAAAAAAACAAACAACGTTCCTACATTTTTAAATTTTGACTCAATCATTGTACAAATGATTTTCATTCAGTGGGAACATCACATATACACAGCCAGCATCACATATCACTGCATCAAAGTATGAAACAAACATTAAATCAGAGCCTTTTCTTGTCTCCTCTCTTCATAGTTATCTGCCATCCACCTTCCGGCATGGCAACAGACATCTTTGCTAGCCTCCTGTGCAGGCCCCGCGGCGGTGGGGAAGAGTTTTTAACGCATTATTTTAATATAGCCGGCCATCCTACATAGCCGACGAGAGAAGGTTGCTTTCCCACGGGGGCGG